TTGTCCACGGTTTCCATGTAGGCCCCACATGGGTTTGCCCAGATGAAATGAACACTGCTCAGTGTGCACACTACAGGCTGTTAAATGTAACACATATCAGTGTTGGAGTTAATGAGATAATTAATTGATTAAATAATGATTGAGCATTATTGTTAACAAGCAGAATCATTGAAGGAAAGAGAAACACGTAATGGTTTTTATACTGTACAAACTGCATATTTTACACTAACCCGACCCCTAAACCTGCCCATCACACACAACTTTCTGCATTTAAAACAAAAAAAAACCCCTTTAATTACTTTATTTTTATACAAGATTTACAAATGAGGACGTCCATAAGGGAGGTTTTTGAATATTTTGTTTTGGTCTCTTCTGGGTAAAAATTTGTCCCCAAATATAGTTAAGTCACACACACACACACACACACACACACACACACACACACACACACACACACACACACACACACACACACACACACACACACACACACACTAGGGAAGTGAACTGGCTTTTAAACTCATCTTCAAATATATAACTGAAGGATTTACTTTTAAAAACTGTTTAATAATAATAAATGTTCCTGGTCAGCCAAACTGTACTGAAGGAGAACTTATTGCTCACCAATTAAAAAAGAAAAGAAAAGTAAAACTAAATGAAAGTCCAAAGATTTTTTTAAATGTGATATTTATTCATAAGCCCTCTATAAAAAATTGTAATACTAAACCACGTTTACAGTTGATACTCATAAAGTATTTTTTTTTTGTAAAATGTTTACCCCAAAATCAAACCTTACTTTACACATGTACAATCTTTACAACATTTCAAAGCGGAGAAAAAACAAACAAACAATGGAACAAAATAAACAGATATAAAGATATACATAATTTTCATTTAACAAAGTTAGAACGTCTCGCGTATCAGAGATTCTTGGACGAGCGGAATAGTAAGTACATGCCTTTTGGCATTTAAAGAAAGCTGCTTTATTAGGACAGACGTTCCCGCGTCCTCCTCATCACTTCCTGTTACCCATCAGCCTTTGCTTCGAAATGCTGAGTGCCGTTCAGATATTTCGCCGAAGTAGTATTGCACCTTTGCCATGAACAAGTGACCTGCTCTTGTAACATATCAGACGTGCGGACCTGAATATCCTTGTTGACCTTTGACCTTCACTAATGAAGTTTCTCCCCTGATTTAAGAGGAGATCGTGTCCAACAGCAACTCTGAATCTGTGTGTAGCGACTCGAGCTGTGTGACTTACAGACAGGTCCTCGGATAATGAGCATGCTTGACGTATGCGAAGTACATTCACAACTCAATCCAGTGCCCTCTCGTGTCAAAACAGTCAAACATAAAGGCAGAGTACAAAAAGGCACACACACTTGCGCACACACACAACTGTATATCAACCTTGCTCTGATTACAAGAGTTTTCTAAATAGTCAGATCCTAATACATATCAGTCATATATGATGTCGAACTATTAATAGGGAACGAGTCAAGCACAGGCTATGCTCAGGATGGATAGCTCTTACTAAATACGGTGAAGTGTACACTGTTTACTACCTGTGAAAATAGCAAGTGCTTGTTTAAAGGTAGAGTAGGCAATTTTGGAGCGGCTAGCATTAGCAAGTTAGCTTTGAAAGCATGAGATCCCACCGTGAACGCCGCATAAACTCGTGGTTTTGGACCAGGAGGAACTGATTCGGAAAGGTGAAAGGTTTCGTTTGTGTCTCTCAGTGACTGGTGTCTGTCTACAACTCTGCGTAGCATTAAACGCGCTGATGATGTGTGATTTCTGCGCGGAGGTGTGAAAATACATATGTTAACAGGCAGGAAGGACATCCTATGATTGCATTCGGACCGAAGTGCAATGATCGGACGAACACTTTATGGTCCTACGCCTTCCACAGACGATGATATATCCATATAAATGCATTTAGGCCACTTAATTTAATGATTTCTATCAGGATGTAAAGAGACTTTCAAACAAGCGGGAACCTCCTTTTCTCTCTCTTGAATCCAACACGGAAGTGACTTAAGCTGCACTTCATCGTCTGGCCACTAGAGACCGGCTCCAGAAGAGAGTCAATCCCATTGAGCCCCATGTTAAAATGCCCAACTTTACAGCAGAAAAACACATGTTTACAGCCTGGTGCAAAAAGTGGTTTTGGTCTATAAAGCTAATTTTGCTCTTCCTGACGACTGTGAGAGCGGTGGATTTTTTTATAACTCATCCGTTTAAATTATATTAAGCCTTAAAGTTATGCATAATTAAGGGCGTGGCCACTTGAGTGACAGGTGGATTGCCGCTGATGTCACTGCTAGCCGTTTGTCTGCGGTCTGTTAGCGTCACGTCTCCTCAGCTAATCCGCCTCGCTGCACATTTTCGGTTCTCCAAGATGGCGACGGTCGGCTCCGCCCACTTTGGGCTTCAAAAATGCTCTTCAGAAACATACGGCTGACGTCACGGACACTACGTCCATATTTGCTTACAGTCTATGGTTGCAACCAGCATAACGAAAAAGGTTTCTGGAACAAATCGCCTACCCAGCCTTTAATGCAGCAATTTATCATCTTGACAATAAAAATCCAATGTTGTGTGCAATTTACATTTGGCTTTCTGATCAAATTCGTTCCTCTGGTTCAGACATTACTGGAAACAAAAGTTGAGCGCTTTGCATTGGGGATGGACGATATATCGACCACCATATCGGTATCGGACGATATATGGAAATTTTTTTATGTTATCGTTATCGGCCCAATAAGAAAATTTGGCCGATATATTAAAGTGGATTATTTATTTCAGCTGAGACACTTTTCAGATTGCTTAAAATATGATTGAAATCACTTCAAAAAAGGAAAATACAGTTCAGTGCAACATGTCCAGCGCTTGTCTGTCATTAAAGCTACATCAAATTTAAATGAGAACGTTATAATTGTGTGTTTGGGATGTGGCTTTTGATGGTGAGATTTTTGTTTTTGTAATCAGGCTCTGAAAATTTCAATAAAAATTTGGATTTACATTATCGGCCAATATATCGGTTATCGGCTTTCAAATATAAAGAATTATCGGTTATCGGTATCGGCCAAAATGTCATATTGGTGCATCCCAAGTGAAAATATGCATTCTGTGACCAGTACACACACTTCAGCAGTAAGAGCTATTCTGAACATATATGCTTCCCTTCAAGGCTCTCTGCAATAAACAAATGACAAGGCCAAACGTGACCGTGGGGACTTTCTGCTAGTTCATTTGTAAATCTAAACGGATAGGGTAAACGGTCAGGAAGCGAGGGGTCAGTGAACGGCGTCACTTCCCCTGCAGGGCCGGGGCAGTTGTTAATGGGGTGGCAAGAGGTGAAGGACTGACTGTAACACATTTAGTGCCACACTTCTGGGTCAAATAGATCCCAGCAAATAAGACATTTTCATCATCATCCATTGGTTTTGTAATGAAACAGTAACACTGCCAATAAATAAACACTAATGATAAAAACCGTAAAAAAAAAAATACATACATAATACTTGAACAATACAGTGAAGATTGCATAATCAGAAATGACCATATTTGGCACAAAAGAAGAACGCTGTGATTGTGTGAGCCTTTCTAAACAGTGGATGCTCCTTCATGCATGAATGCGATTGTCCCTCACAGTGAAGAATGAGCGCATGGAGGACAGTCTGACTGGACAACAACGTCTCTATGAGCTCCGACAATCCCTAGGGTAAAGAATCAGGTGGGTTTCACCGTTAGCACTAGCAGAAATACCCCGCTTGATGGGTGCTAAGTTAAAACAAAACAAAAAAATGAGCAAAGAAATATGTAAATACAGTGCAGGATGCATTTGAAAAGTAAAGAAATGCATCGGATACAGTAATAACACATGTCGGAATAGTTTTTCAGGTTCTTCTGGTATTATATACCAGTGTTTTAGGTGAATCTCACAAATCCGATTAAAGAGCAAACAAATCGTTGTGTCCAGGCAGACCTTCTGATTTTCATTAAAGTATTATAGTTATGGGAATAACCATTTTCCCACATTACAGCAATGAGAGTTTAGGGGGGGGGGGGTGTGCTTAATGTCACTATGCATCAGTTTAAAATGGTCCTAAAATCAGGCTCAAAGCACATTTCTTTATGATTTTGAAGTGAATTATGGCCTGGAAGTTACTTTATGAGATTCACCCTTTTTCCTCTCCTTATTTGTAGACTCAAAAACGGATTAAATTCAATCACTCATGTCAAATTACTACTTGTAATACAATTTTAAAGTGTCAATACTTTGTTTCCCTTTGTTTTAGCATTAAAGTGTTGAGTCTGCAAACATAAGCAACAACAAATCAGAGTAAGACATTAGAGGAACAAATGCCCAAAGTGCAGCCGATAAAAGGATGGCGTCCCATCATGTGACCCCTCTCTCTCTCTCGGGGCCGGGACGGTTCCTCTCTCACTGTATCAGCAGGCCGTGTGCAGTGCAATGCATACAACATCAGTTCACCCTCTCACAACTACACTTATACAAAAATAAATCAATCGAAACGTGGCAAGATAAGCCTCTGTACATTACACTTATATAAAATAGCTTTGAATATTTACATATAGACAACAACAAAAACACACACACACACACACACGCACAAAAACACAAGCAACCTGTCCTGTACAATATACACCTGAATAAAAAGACATGTTAAGAGGTACTGAAGTGTATGGCTTGATAGGAGATAAGTCCCTATATATATATATATAATGAAATTAATATATTTATACTTATATGTACTTAAATATCCCTGGAATCATGAAAGTGACGTGCCCAACACAACGCCACGGCCTACAACTCAAGGCTCAAGTCTTCATAGTCATCCGCCATGTTCTCCAAACCAAGAGTTTTGCTTTGGTGATCTAAGATCAGTTCATAGAAAATCAGATCCAGTAGATAACCTCCCAGAAGAGAATTAGGACCATGGATGAACCGCATCGACTCTGAAGGATCGATATCTTCCCAGAGTTTATGGGTATACTTCCAGGTCCTCCGTCAGAGCGTCCAGTGCAGGCCAGCTTCTTATCTCCAATGCATCTCTGACTTTGGCCCAAAGAAACTCAGTAGTATCCCGAAGTCCAGTGCTAACAGAGTAGGGACATGCCGTTTGCAGTGAGCAGTTGTCCACTGGTGGGGTCGTAGGTGCCGGCCAGGTAGTACAGGTCGTGAAAGCTCCCGTCAGGCCTCCTGTTGCGGGTCAATCGCTCGTACTCCTCGCGTGTGACCACCTGGCACTTATGAGAGATTGTCTGGACGTCGTTCTCATCCTCATGGCAGGACTGGTACAAGGCATGCTAGGGAGAAGGAAAAATTAATCATTTCCTTCAACAATACCTGTTAGCATACTTGGGCTGCCCTCTATAGTCGATTAAACCTTAGTCGACCAAAATTGTATTCGTTTGTTAGTCGCAAAAAAAAAAAAAAACCTCACATGAGTAACGTACGCAGTCCGTGAGGGACAGATCAGGTCCTTCATCGACCTAAAATATGGCTTATCGTTTGAAACATGCTAGTAGTAGCAACTTTACTTGGCCGCTCGCTCGAACGTTACCCTAGATAAATGTGCGCTATTATTAGGGACATATCCAGGTGTTTTAGCGGAGAGAGGAAGCTAAAGGATTAGCACGCTTACTGAATGACATTGGAGGGACCGGCTTGATCACGTGCATTTTTTCCTGATAAACAACTCAAAATGTAATTTCTGGTTATTAGACAAGAGTAATACATCATTTGAAGCTGTAAAAGGTCTACTTTTATGTGTGTAGACAAAAATGAACCCGAAACACAGTGTATACTTGCCTCACACTCATTAGAAATATATCTATAGAAAGCTTGAAATGTATACTTTTAAATTAAATATAAAAAACGAATACTCTTTATGTAATCCGTATGAAAGATGCATTTCTTTCTAAAGGCTCGTCAGCTTCATCTTTGCAGCCGACGCTGACTCAGAAAACACTAGTTTATTAATAAATAAAAATGTCTCCTTACTATTTTTTCAGACACATTCCTAATCATTACTTTTGCAGGTGATTTGTACAAGCTTTATGTGTGCGCTTGAGCACGGAATAGGCTATATATATACATTAAAGGCTCATTATGGTTTAGCATTCCCCCAATATATAAGTAAATGAATTAATATAAACGCACAAATAGTCGACTAATGGCTTAAGTGACCGACTACTAATCGACTCAAGGGCAGCCCTAAATACCAATGTTTCAGTACTCACTGTCAAAACTTAGTTCAAATATTTATAGCATAAGTCCATCATGACTGACAGGCTTCCAGATATCTGAAACTTACTTTGCCATCACGATGTCTCTTGTCTAGCTTGGTCTCTTCAGGGTGATAGAACCACTTGACCTTCACGACCATGCTGTTCTGCCACGACTCCCAGAAGCTCTCGATGCAGCCGATCAACGGCAGGTGAGGCTGGCCGGTGGAAAGAAACACAGCACAGTCTCCGACCCGAACCACGTCCTTGCCACGCACTATGGCCTTGTAGAAAAGCTTCCGTGCCTTTCCCTTACGTCCACGCCGCTAATGTAATTAAGAGAGCTTCAGAGTTTTGCATATGTAAAGCACAATTATTTATTGATTTTTTACCTTTAAAATACTAGATTTGATCAAGAAATAGTAATGTAAGCACATTCCTCACATTCCTTCAACTTAAATTCAAAATAACTCACAATTTCATGCATAATCCTTTTAATTCAGCTCAAAATATCTTACATACTGTCTTTGCCAACCTCTTGTGGAAAAAATAATAATATAACATGATATTTCATGGCTCTAGCCACTAGATGGGCTTATAGATCTATATGGAGCAAATGAGCTGTTCCCCTGGGTCCTAAAGTCAATATTTTCTTCAGTATGCATTCAGATACATATGTAGACATTATAAAATAATTTTCAGGTCGAAATGACCCAAGGGAAGGATGAGGGTGAAGTTTACAGGAATGAGATGGCAAAAAAAAAATGATTGTTTCCAACTAGGCCCATCTGCTATTGTTAACCACTCACTAAACAGCTTATTAAATATAGTCACTGGCTAGAAACTCACACCATTGGTTGAGCCTAGGGATGCACCATATTGGCATCGGTAACTATAATGGTAAGTACCAAACCACAAGCCTCTATATTTGGACTATGTTAGGACTTAGAGCAATGTTTTGAAAGCCCCTCAAGAGTTTAGCTCCAACCCTAATTAAACACACCTGAACCAGCCAATCGAGGTTGGAGCCAAACTCTGCAGGACAGCGGCACTCCAGGACTGGAGTTTGACACATGCTTTAGGATGTAAATCTGCTAATGTAGTTGACTCATTAACCTGGAATAGGTTAAAGCAGGGGTAGAAGCTATTATCATTTCAACAAGGACTCACTTGTGTGGGGTTTCCTGACCACCTCCACAGCTGTCTAGATGGCAGGATTGGTGACACTCTGGGCTTGATCTGCTCTGCTAGAAGCCGTTGCCTCTTAACCAGATCTTTGGAGGTTTTCGAGTGTGAACCGGGACAGTCTTTCCTCTTCGGTGGCTTGCCGCTAGCACTGTGGTTGCTATGCCCTTCTTTGGCAGCGGACACGGCCACAGCTTTGGCCACAAAGGAGTGTCGTACGGGTCCCACGGGGGGTTCAGGGGTCTGGAGCAATGAATGATGGGGAGTCAGGCAACTCTGGAGGAGCAACGTTGAGCTTTCCTCATCCTCCGAGCTGTAAGAAGAGTCGTTTTCAGAAGAGCACAGACTGGAGCTCGAAAGAGAGCCTGAGCTGGAGGAGCTGGAGGATCCTGAGGAAGACGAGGAGACCGAGATGCGAGAGAGAAATTGGCCAGCTGTTCTCAAACCTCCAGAGGCAGAAGCAAGTCCTGCCCTAGTCTTCACATCTTCTTCTTCCTCGTCCATGTCCGAGTAGGAGCTTTGGCAGTCTCTGTGGCAGCCAATGTTCAAGTCTCCATACTCAATGGGTATTGATGGCGAAGGCTTCCTCTGGACTGATGTCCCTTTCAACAGGAGCTCTGCTCGTGAGCCGTCACCTTTCCTATTGTCTTTGACCAGCAGAACTGGGTGTGAATACGCCTCTGCCCTGGGAAGACCACCTACACCATTGGAGCCAAATCCTGAGGCTCCCAACAACAGGAGAGCCTTACCGTTCTTGGTCTTTGGAGATGTTACTCCCTCATGGTCCAGTTTGACTAGAAACTCTGTTTTCTTGCCCCGAGGTGGTGCTGGCTCCTCAATCCTCTTCTTTTGACCATAAGAGGTGTTCCTGCCCTCTAGTGAAATCCCGGATATCTGACTACCAAAGGATGAATAACCGTTAGCTATGCTGCTGAAGGAGTCTACCTCGAAAGAGCTACTGCTAAAGAGGCCTTTGGTTGGGGTCATCATGGATAACGAAGGTCGGGAGGATGTTTCCATCACCCTGCCTTTCAAGGACTTCTTCGAAGAGGAGCCGTTGAGCTGGAAAATGTTAACAGGGATTCTCTTCCTGGGTGCAGCCATTGATGGCCATGAAATAGCAGATGTTGAGCTCTTGGCTACACTGTCCGAGAGAGACTTCTTTAGCCCTGAACCTTTAGGCCTCCCTGTAAAGAAATAAAGGTTACAGTAAACCCTAGGTTGATCAAGATTCAGAGTCTTAAGGCCCCGTTCACACCAAGAACGATAACGATAACTATATTTGCGTCAACACCAACGAACGATAACGGTCTTTATATTTTAAGCAAAATGGTTGACCTGTTGCTGCTTTTACGCTACACAAAAACATCAAAAGAAAAACAGGCGCTTTTGGGTACATGATATCCTTAAAAGACGGGTGTAGTTGGGAGTATCCGTCACTCTGATTAGAGAGTTGTCGTCTTTTGAAGACAAATGTTATTCATACTTTCGAATGAATCAATATCAGTTTGTTGTATTTACACGTGTTTTACCAGCAGATGTCCTCAGTATGCTACGTTTCGAGTTCATCTAAACAGATTAGATCGATTACACTTGACTAGCTAGATTCACTAACAGTGAATTTATCTGACGAAGTCAATAGTGGATTAAAAACAACACTAGCCTGCATAATGACCTCATCGTTAATACTTCTCTCCATTTATTCCAAGGGTACGACCGATTACTTTCCATATATCCATTTTTTTTAAACGTATCATTGAAAAGGGGGTTGGACTTGTCAAACAGTGGTGGATTTTTGGCGAATAACTTCTCCACAATGTCGTCTGCCATTTTAAATGCGCGAACCCTTTAAATTCGAGTGGATTCTGATTGGCTGTCAGTGTTTTATCGTTCGACAGCTGGAAAAAAAACTCGTTCTGAAAGTTACCAACGATATCGTTCCTCATATCTTTATCATTATAGTTGTGGTGTGAACTCTGCTATTCTTTAATATGGAGAACTATATCTTTATCGTTATCAATATCGTTCTTGGTGTGAACGGGGCTTTAGACAGCATTCTAAGGGCATTATTGGCACATTTGGAAAGCTGTCCATAGATAGGCGGATCACTAGGTTTTGAGGCAAAGCGATAGTGAAATATGTTCTCTGGTGGTTTATTGTAAAGAGAACAGGCTGAGAGTCATACCTGGTCTTCTGACTGGCTTATCCTGAGCTTTGAATCTGTCTGTTCTTGCCATCCTGCTTCCTTGCATGGAGATATTTTTGCCAAGCCGTCCCTCAGGGACAAGCACAGGACTCGACTCAGTGCCTGAAAGAGCAAAGGAGGTGTCATTTTTTTATTTTTGAAGCTTGTTACAATGCCATGTTAAATATATCTGAATTCAACGATAAAAGCTCTGTTTTAAATCCAAGTTTCCGAGCTAGACAGCATTTTAAGGGACCACAGGTGAAAGTAGGCAGCTTCTAAGATACCACGTTTGGGCCCAAACCTAAGGCAACATGTATTCATTAATGCCACACTTTTTTGGAATCAAATGTGAGTTTTAGTCATATCTCTTGTGCAATTTATACGAGAAGTGTTATTTTTGTGACTGGCCGTTAACAAGGTCGCTGACTAAATAGTTTTTAATCAATTACTTGTTCAATGTTTGCAACTTAGAAGTGGTTTGGTGCTGTTCAACTGGTGACAGAATGGTTGTGAGGAGCATGAAGAATCATTTTCACGCATGAAGTCCAGACATTAACGTCATTGAGAGCCTTTGGGATGTGCTGGAGGAGACTTTACAGAGTGCTGGACTCTTGCATCGTCAATGGAAGATATTGACCAAAAATGTATGCACCTTTTGATGGAAATAACATTTTCGTTAAGGTTTGGACTCAAAGGGGCCAATTGATTTGTGAAAATGATTCTTTATGCTCTCTTCCATCCATTCTTTCTCAATCTGAGCCTGACGAATCTTGACATCATCATCCTGAAATATGGCCATGATGTTTTTGCTACATGTTTGTTTAAGAAATAAAAAGCTACACACTCCATCAATTAGGCTTAGAAGAACTGTTGCCAAACATATAACATGCTAGAAACATTATAATCACTACAATAATTATCCAAACAAGACTTTTTTTGGGGTCCGGGAAGTGTATCTACAAAGGAAAGCATGGTCTCTTTGATGGAGCTGGTTGACTTTGCTGATTAATATTTTTTAATCACCCAAAACAACATATGGTAAGTTGTCCTTTGTGCAGGATGTTGCCTGTGTAGACAGAGCTAGCTCACTAGGTTTTAGAAAAGGGTTTTAAAACAGAGCAAATGACCGATTAGTGGGACTTACTTTGGATTTGATATCCGGGAGGAAGAAAGCGAATATTAGAGAGAGAGATCCATCCTCTGTCTCCATCATCAAACTCCACCATAACCCCACCGGGTTTACCTTCATCACCACCTAGAGGACCAGCAGAACCAGTTAATGTATGTTCAATCGCTCTACAGTAGTTTCTTTAACCTTTGTTTGAATGGGTATGTGTTATCAGGAAACAAAATAATATGTGACCCTGGACCACAAAACCAGTCACATGGGTCTTTTTTTTTTTTAATTGAGCTGAATAAATAAGCTTTCCACTGATGTTATGATAGGATAATATTCGGCTGAGATACAACTATTTGAAAATCTGGAATCTGAGGGTGCAAAATAATCTAATCATTGAGAAGATCCCTTTTAAAGTTGTCCATGTTTCGCGATATTGCCGCATCCACTCACAAAAATAATGTTTTGATACATTTACAGTAGGAACTTTACAAAATATCTTCATGGAACATGATCTTTACTTAATATCCTCCTGATTTTTGACATAAAAGAAAAATCTCTAATTCTATTGCCACAAATACACCTGTGCGACTTGCGACTGGTTTTGTGGTCCAGGGTCACATATATAAATTTGAAATGATTATAAGGACAGGGAAGAATAGTATGTGTGTCTCACCCCTGCGCACATATCCCGGGTAAAGACAACGTGAGCGCTCACTCCAGTAAGCACACACTCTAGTCCCTTCTGTTAGCACAGTCTCGGTGTCAGGGCGTACGTCCAGTACCTAACACACACACACACACACAGGAACAAACTTCTGTCAGGCAATGCCAGTGAAAGTGGTTTTGGACTCCCAAGATGATAAATGACACACACACACACAGAAGTCAATCAGTGAAGCCCTTATGAAAGCGGCACTTATCTCATGCCAGCGTGTTCGGGCTGAAAGCCACGGAAGCGGAGGTGCGGTAAACACTAAACTTGCTGAGTAATAATGAGGAGTGTGTGAATGGTGCGACTGTGATTGCAGGTTTGCAGCGTTTCTCTGCGCCCAGATCCCTCCATTCAGCTCAAACCCCCTTTCAGGTTTCTTTAATTTACTGTTGCTATGGTAACAGGCTCTCTCTGAGTGATGGGATGTGAAGCTGGAGGGGTGTGTGTGTGTGTGAGTGTGAGATTGGTGTCAAAGGTACATGGAGGATTGGAGCGCTCTGGAAAGTGGAAGTTCAGTGTAATTAGAGACAGCTGCTGTAGACCGTTTACACAATCAAACAGCTGGATGACACAAGTGTGTGTGTGTGTGTGTGTGTGTGTGTATAGAGTAGAAAATAGAAATATGAACAATTTAGATGGAAGCCGTAACAATAGGAAATGTTTGAGTGGAGTTGATACAGCACACTACTGACGAGGAGATCAATGTAGAGTAACATGGCTGAATAATTAAACATTTTCAGTTTAAAAAATCTAGTGCTTTTTGTGTAAATACAAAAAATTAGAATTTTTTTGTTTGTCTAATTTTCTAACAAACTTTATTCAGGGTTCATACAGACACTGTTAAATGAAATTCCAGGCCTATTAGGGACTTTTAAAGCACCACTTTTTTGGTTTTCACGGACTACAATCAGAGATTGCACTTATAAAACAATATCTTTATTTTTAAGGATTTATTTTAAAGCAAGGCATCCAAAATGCATCTTATTATATTACTTATAATTAATCTATATTAAATACAGTTTATAATGGCTATTATTGTTCATTGTCGTTACTTCACATCCAGAAACGGTCTATCCAGGGCAGCAGTGTTAACTTTGCGTGAAAAGATTACATTTGTTTTTTTTTTTAAAATTGAACTCTATTTCCTTTTGTATTTAAATAAGTAAATCACTTTTCAAGTACCTCTTCATAAATATAGCTGTTTTCAAGGGTTTTCCAGGACTTAAATTTAAAAAAGTAAAATTCAAGTACTTTAAGCACCTTTTACGAACCGTTTATTGCATTATACAGTATATATATATATATATATATATATATCATGCATGATTGCTAAAGGATGTTGAGCATAAATTCAATAAGTGCCAATACTATATTGTGCATTTTAACTGTATTGACTAATCAGGTTTCAGGACAGTCACTATCCATTTTATCATAGCATATCTAGTAAATGAAGACGTGTACTAAGTCAATGTTTTGTGTCAGTGCCACTGATCCTTGTGCAAGATTAGATTAGAAATGTGGAAAACAAGCGAGTCAACACCACTGATCTCTACCAACACAAACACACGAGCCAGAAGGAAAGAAGTTACAAGCTAAGCTGAACAGACGCCAAGAATGCACTGCGGTTTACACTATATAATTACACTCCATTGGCTCAGATTAGACACAATGTTGTTATAACCTGTGAAACTAACATTGAGGGAGAACACCAATGCCTTCGGAAACATCTAGATGGAGCAAAGCTGAATGAGACAGAACCCAGTTTTTAACACTCAGCCTTATCGCCAGTCATCCAATAAATAGGCTATGACTGTTTTCAAACAGGTTTCCTTCCTAAGTGATGACTGAATTTTCACTTTTGAGGGACTATAACTTTTAGTGGCAGATTTACTAATAGCTTGCGTCAGTGCAAACCCTCTTTTGGCGTAAAACATTTTTTTGTAAGGATTTACTAAAGACACACAGTGGAAAATTCGCACTGAAAAGGCGTGAACACAGTTATTTTTGCGGCTGATCTTATTGCATATGCATTTGTAGGAGTTTCCCTTTCAGGCACAAAATGTCTGGCAGGAGAGTATTTAAATTAATCACACAAGATTTACCAAGGTTTGTCAATTTACTGGTGTTTACCCCATTATTTACCGCCCAAAAAAGCACGTCGCTAAATGGTAGATTGTGTCGGCACTTTTTTTAAATTGCGTTCTCGCGCTAATTTGCCCTGTTTAGTAAATCAGGCCCTTAAAGTGTTCAAATGCAATGCTCACGGCGCAAAATGCTGAAGACAGTTTAACTATCAGTTTTCTGTATGTGCATATTCCCCAACAATTATAACATATGGCATTTGAAGTGCACTGAGAGCGCAGCCACTTATACTGGCGGCTGTTGAGGGGAAAGTCAATTTGCCCTCCTGGCATTTTATCGAGGCTTTCTGTGGGATTTCATGTGTTGTGATAAAAAGATATGAAGGTGCTGGAAAGACCCAGTGCTCGCTCGTGTGTGTGTGTGTGTGTGTCTGGAGGAGGTGGATGGGACTGTGTTTTGGCGGCTAAATAGTGACAGATGCTCCTCACCCATTTGTAACAGGATGTACTTTCCATTAACAGGCTAAAAGAACAAGTGGTCAGTAAAAGGAGACTCTTAAACATCTCTAAACATTGATCTCACCCTCTCAAATGTATTTCATGTTAATGTTATATGAGGTTAGCAATAGTTGCAGTCCTGTTACTAAATTTTATTTGTGTGATTGTCTAGAAATAAATATACAAGTAAAGATAACATGTAATGATAATAATGTAAAACTCTATACCAGAATGGGTAACAAGTAACTGTTTCAATATAAAAAAATAATAATAGTTTCAATTTTAGGTTTAGTCAACTCAAATATCCCAGTTGTATGGAAGCTTGTTTCCGCCACAGAATAAAAAATAAAAAAGGTAATTGCGACTTTTTATTTCACAATTCTGACTTTTTTCTCTCTCACAATAGCGAGTTTATATCTCGCAATTCTGACTTTACATCTTGCATTTCTAAAAAATAAAGTCACAATTGCGAGATGTAAACTCGCAATTGTGAGATAAAAAGTCGCAATTATCTTTCACGATGTTTTATTCTGTGGCGGAAACAAGCTTCCATAAAGTCACTTAGTACAACTTCACATTTCAAGTTGACTAAAATTAAAATTAAGGCATTATGAACACTTACTTTAAGTTGATTTTTTTTTTTTTACAGTGTTGTGAATGTAGTTTAAATTAAATTAATATAGGCTTTGGTTAGTAATGAATGTTTTCAAAGATATTTTTTTTTAAATATTTCTTTTTCTAACAATAAATAAGCAGCAGTAAAGTAAAAATAAACATAAGTAAAGATAATATGTAATATCTAAAGTAACCGTTTCACTGTAAAAGTAACTTGTTGTTTCAACTTAAAAAGTAAGAGTTCGTGCTGCCTTAAAATTTCAAGTTTAGTCAACTTGAAATGTGAAGTTGTATTAAGTGACAACTTGGATATTTGAGTTGTGAATGTAGTTTAAATTAAATTAGCAGGGGCTTTCGTTAGTAATACATTTTCTCAAAGATAATTTTTTATCTTTTAATAATATTCTTACAATAAATAAGCAGCAAGAGTGATTGAGATTGAGGAATGTAGTTACTTGTAAAAGTTAAGAACAAATGGAATGAGTTTATTTAGACTTATTTATAAATGAATTTATTATCAGTCGGACATTATTTGGGGCATCATTTTAAGTATTTAAAACTAGCTACTTTTCATGCTAGATTAATTTCATAATAATAATCCATACATCCTCAAAAACATGGCATTTGTCCCTATAAAGCTATTAAGAAAAAGAAAAAAGTAATGGTGACCAAAGCGTCCCGTATTTGTGTAAAGTGTGTTGTCCATGTGTGTACATGTACATGCTGTCATGTCTGTGGAGAAGGTGTGACGGGCAGAGCCTGATGTGGTGTGAGGAAAACTGAAGCAGAAGGTGTGCTGGAAACGGGACTTCAGGAAATTGTGTTGTGTATAGGGATCTCAGGAAAGAGGAGATTGTTCTGTGTTGCTCTTTAATGGAATAGGGGATTTTGGAGGATGTGGTGTGTGTGTGTGTGTGTCCTGAGAGGCCAAAGCTCAAAGCGTAGGCAGGTTTGTTTGCTGTAAGTGGGAAACTCACGGCTTCCTGCAAGAGCTGCTCCAGGGAGTAGATTCTGGGTCGGTTTCCTCGCTCCCTGTCGATAACAATACTGTAGCTGGAGAGAGAGAGAGAGAGAGAGAGTTATTTTCAATGCTGTGTGTAATGCTTGGCCGTCCGTGTCGAACTCCTACGGAGAGCTCACTTTCATTGGCTGTGACTGATTCTCTACAGCAACACTTCTGCTGCTGAACTCAGGGATTAAGGGAAGTGATGTTGACTTGTGCAAGCAACTAAGGACTGTGGGAAACTAGTGGGAGATGGTCTCTGCTCATTTGACTGTGGTAGTGAGCATAATCCTATCGAAGTAACGTTAATCAAAACAAAAGCAGGCACACACAGAATTATTCACAAAGTAACTTACTACACATCCCCCACCCCTCGCATGTCCCTTGGTTACATATGGTACTTTATCTTGAATACTTGATTCTGATTGGTCAATAGCACCATCCATCTGTATGTTACAATATTAAAACTCAGTCGAATCAATATTTTGTGTACAGTTATTTAATTATGCCATCCAGTATCGTGGACTCCCTCTCGTTTCATACAAACGCAGCGGCGGCCATTTTGTACACTATTTGTTTTGAACACTGTTGGATTATAAGATCCTCATATCAATATTTGGTGTCGAATTATTTACTTATGTGGCAAGTAGCGTGTAATAAGCGGGATGATGTACATCCAGCCGGTTGTTATCTCAGAATAAACCCCTTCAGGGGCGGATGAAGAGCTGATCCTGATCACCCTGTCGGGGGTTATTCTGAGATAACAACCGGCCGGATGGACATCATCCCGCTTAATACACAGAGTTGACGGGACCCTCACTTGTTGACGCTTCAGAAACCACACAAAGTGAACACAACAGTAATCCATACGACCCCAGTTGATGAATCAATGTCTTCTGGAGTGAAACGCTAATGCTACGTTCACACCGGACGCGAATAGCGCGTCAAATTCGCGTCTACCGCGTCTAGTTTGACGCTTGACCACTTTGTGTTAATTCGCGTGTCAATGGCGAAATTGACGCGCGTAAAACAAAAGTTTGAAGCGAAATTTACGCGCGTCAGAGGCGAAAGTTTCGAAACCCGTCGGCGGCCATCTTTTTAGATGTTTATCGAGCATTAGCATTAGCATTATTCGAGAGAGTCACCGCTCGTATATGCTCTGGAGAGCAGAAACAGCTGCGTAGGGGACATCGTCGCTGTACTCGGGTCCACCAGACCCTCCGGAGGGTTTCAGGAGTTTCACCATTTGTTCCAGGAGCTAGGTTTGGTGGACCTAACGGTGAGGACGCTGATGAGGACACCGTAGGCCGTGTAAACCCTCGGCCTCGAGTGGTCGCTGCCTGACGAGCCTGCGCTCTACAGCCCGGCGCAAGGTTCACCCTCGCCCGCACATTTATTTGATAATAAATGGAGCCAGCCTCCAAAAGTGAAACCTGTCCTGTGATTTTTTTTATTTATTATACACTATGTGTTTGTTGTTTTTACATTAAAATAATAATGTTTCATATAATCTAAAATAGATATGGAATAAATAGCATTCAATACAAAATGAGTACTATCTCTCATATATTAAAATCGAGTTTTTATGTGAAAGATTTGCTTTGTTGTGCATTAGAACCACACCAGACATTTTAGTAATATTACAAAATAATTTATTAAAATAACAAACTTTCACTTCACCACGTGACAGCAGCAAGCTGGCTCCTGATTGGTTAACGCGGCGCGAATTGACACAGAAGTTCAGATTTTTCAACTCGGGCGGCAGACGCGAATTCGCGTCAAACGCGTGAATGCACAAATAGCACTAACTAAATCATTCGCGCGTAACGCGCTTCCGCGCCAGACGCTTCAATTCGCGCCATTCGCGCGAACTTGACGCGCGAATGAGGCGTATTCGCGTCTACCGCGCCGCGCTCTCCGCCTCATTCGCGCCGCAGGAATTTTTTACGCGCGTAACGCGTCTTTGCATTGACTTAACATTGAAATCACTCGCGCCTGACGCGCTATTCGCGTCCGGTGTGAACGTAGCATAAGAAAAATATGAATATATCGCTTCTGGCTAACTGTCCAACGCAAGTTCGTGAGTTCTCGCTTGACGTTGTGAAACGTACAAGAAGTGACGGTCCTCTGTGTTTCGACATTACTTTTTGCGTGAATTCCAACGCTCTTCTTACATCACGCCTAACAATGCTCTCATGAAGCCATGCATGACAGTTGGCTGGAAGTGATGGTTCATGGGTTAAAAAGTATCAAATGTTAGTATTTTTCTCATGCACATCGTTTCATTTAAGAAGACAGTGTAGTTTTTGAAGCGTCAACTTTAGAGGACTCTTAAACTAGCATAAAATGGACTCACAGAGACGGAGTCATTTCCAAAATATCTTTGTTTCTGTTCATCTTAAGAAAGTCATGTTCATCTGGGATGGCATGGGGTAAATTATGAGCTAATTTTCATTTATTTTATTTTATTTGATGTAGGGCTACTCAATTATGGCAAAAATCATAATCACTATTATTTTTGGTCTATATATAATGATTATTTAACAATTATTGGTGGGCGATACGATCAAAGTCTTATTTCATGATATCCGTACAGTTTCACAATTATCGATACTTCAGGAAAAAATAACTACAATAAGAATAAAGAAACTGATTACAAACAAAGGACAAAAAATACAAAAATGAAAATAAAAATTAAATAAGCAGATTTAAGTTTTTCAGGAAGATGTACTAACAGTGGTTTTCAGATATGTATTAGCCTACAAAAACAAAATTAATAATCAAATGTAAAATAACACTGCATAGTCTTACTAAACACATGAAATATAGATTAATCCTTATTAAAGCAACTTAAGTTATTCAGTCAAGATCAGTGATTGATTTTCCTTTGTCATTTGTTATTTGATTATGATTTATGACAGACTGAAGCCGGTTTATTAGGCTGATGTCACTTTAAGAGCTAATGCACGGATCCAATATACTGTTACACGCGTTAAATAAAATAAGTCCATTTATTTATTTGATAAGTAGCTGTTTAATAAGCAAGATAATGTGCAGTCATTAATGCAAAATAAATTCATATAGGATCATTCAAGACCCCTCTGCTTTGTCCTGATCCGCCTGGGGTTTATTTTTTTATGGAATTGTGCCATTTAATCATAGTTAAAACAATTGCGCCGAATATCACAGATTTCCTTCCAAAATCCGAATATGAAAAAAGTCTGAAAACAGCCAAACCAGCTCAACAACAGTAAATATGGCGTATGGGTGTGAGGCTCTACACGTACACATCGGGCGACTCCAGAGGCTGCACACGGGCGGCGTACAGTAGCTCATCTTCTTTGGTGATCAGAACCTTGAGTCCGACGGTCAGAAGCTCTTTGGTCAGAACACAGTTCGGAGGAGCTGAAAGATGAAAAGCATCAACTCAAAACACAGTTTCACAGAGCAGACGAGGACTTCATGTCATGGCAAACACCACCTGTCACCCGTTATGATAAAGCGACTGTAGCGCAGTCTGTAGTCTGTAAGACTGTAGTCTTAGTTTTAGGATTAATTCACTTCAGAATTTAAATTTCCTGAGAATTTACTCTCCCCAACGTCATCCAAGATGTTCTTGTCTTTCTTTCTTCAGTCGAAAAGAAATTGAGGTTTTTGAGGGAAACATTCCAGGATTTTCTTTCCAAATAGTGACTTCAATGAGGTCCAAACAGTATTTTTTATTAAAAAAATGTATGGCGTTTGACTTAGTCTTTGCACGTTTTCTTTGTAAACACTGGGTCGGTTCTTCCGCCTACATCCCGCTTGACCTTTGAACATGATTACGTAATGTGTGGCGCATCACAGCTAGTGCAAGACGAGCATTTGTGGTTAAAAAGTATATAAATGTTTTTTTTTTTTTTTATAAAATGGCGGATGGTTTGTCTAGATCAGACTCTTATTCCTCGGCTGGGATCGTTATTGAACACAACTAACTATCCATTTCCTGAGTATTTACTCTCCCCATCGTCATCCAATATGTTCTTGTCTTTCTTTCTTCAGTAGAAAAGAAATGAAGGTTTTTTGAAGGAAACATCCCAGGATTTTTCTCCATATAGTGACTTCAATGGGGTCCAACTGGTCGAAGGTCCAAAGAGTTATTTATTTTGTAAATGGCGTTTGACTCTTTGTAAACACTCGGTCGGTTCTTCCGCCTACATCCCGCTTGACCTTTCAACATGATTACGTAATGTGTGGCGCATCACAGCTAGTGCAAGACCAGCATTAGTGGTTTAAAAGTATATAAATGTTATTTTATATATATAAAATGGCGGATGGTTTGTCTAGATAAGACTCTTATTCCTTGGCTGGGATCGTGTCGAGACTTGCACTGAAAGCTGCACTGAAACTCAGATCTGGACCTTCGACCCATTGGACCCCATTGAAGTCACTATATGGAGAAACATCATGAAACGTCATTTCTGTTCGGCTGAAGAAAGAAAGACATGAACATTTTTTATGACGTGGGGGAGAGTAAATTATCAGGACATTACTAATCCTTTAAGTTGAACACAACTATCCATTCCTTAATGTAAGTTTTGTTAAACAGTTGTTCACACCCGGAGCAAATCTGCCATTTTTATATGGTGTTTGTGTATAAATGTGTCTTTGCAGTGTGTGGACACAACCACCAAACAATGAAAAAAATCCATTCACTCCTTTTTTTTTATTATCCTCAAAACACCTAAAAACTGTCAATAATCAAGCCACAACCATTGAGGAATTTTAATCAAAGTATGTTACAAACTTTACATGAAGCCCCTAAAAGCCTTTAATGTAAGTTTTGTAAAACATGTGTTCACACCTGGAGCAAATCTGCCATTTGACGAGCCGTTTCTCTCCTCATCCTCCTCAGAGAAGCTACTGTCCTCCCCCAGGTGGAAGCCCTCGTCCGCTGCAAAACTCTCCATGAGACGGCTGACCGCTCGACCCTTCGACTGCAACACACACACACACACACAGAAAACTCACGGTCAGCTAAAACTGCTCTCGCGTGTCAGAGTGTTTGAACATCACCTTTACATGAGTTACTTCTTACTCCGCAAGAGAAGACAAGTGTTAAATGCACCGACCATCGCCTGCATGTTTACCTCTCGAAGCCTGGTTCTGCGAGTGCCGCTGTTATCATCGCTGTCCGCAGACTGGGCCTCGGCCGACACGTAACTTCTCCTCTGCCATAACCAAAACGCCAAAGATTAGTTGCAGAGTCCAATTGTATGCAACCGGTCAGTAAGTCTGAAAACACCTACTTGTTTGTAATCAGTATTTTCCCCAGAACAAGTCAAGTCTTTAAAACTATGACATTACTGGAAGTACTGGTGAAACTATAATTTTGATGATTATGGCTTATGAAAACCCCAAATTCAAAATCTCCGAAAATTTGAATATTACACGAAATCAACTTAAAAAAAAGGTTTTAAATACAGAAATGTCGACCCTCTGAAAGGTATAATCATGCATATGTATATAGTTATATATACTAAATATATTAGTTGCACCTTTTAATTTGAATTACTGAAATACACAAACTTTTGCACGATATTCTAATTTTTTTGAGTTTCACCTGTATATGAAATATGCAGCAAACAAAATATGTTGAAACTAAAGATGTCCTGATTAAGTCTATTGTGCCCCTGAACTGGATCCAAATCACTTAAGTTTGATAATCTGACCTATTACTGGTGTGATACATTTCCTAGAGACAGGCACATAATTTCAAGTGCCTTAAATTATTAAAATCAATTGAATGTATATGCTTGACAACTGAATAGCTCTGCAATACATTAAGAAATAAAATGCCTTAATCTAAACTGTTATTTATATAATTGCATAATTACACGCAACTAACTCTCAACCAAACCCTAATCCTACTCTAACCCTATAGTAAGTACATGTAGTTGATTAATATTACTTGGTACTTAAATATATAATTACACTGTATCATTGACACTTTAAAATAAAGTGTAACCCTTTATTTTAAGGTGTCCGACCCGTGTTACAGTGTAATTATATATTTAAGTACCGAGTAATGTTATTTAACTACATGTACTTTTGGTTTAGGCTTAGTTGCATGTAATTATGCATAATGTATAGTTATTACTACGGTTACTAAATGTGGCGTGTAACAAGGACACTGTAAAATAAAATGTTAATGTTTTTTAAATCATTACAAAATAAAGTAAACAAACTAAACATGTCTCCTATCAATTAAGAACCATAGGTCTTATCTTAACAACTTCACAGAAGTTTGCATTGGTTTTAAAAACAAAAACAAAAAAACTAGAAATTAGAATCAATTCCATTTAGTGCAGTACTATAGAAGTAAAACTAGACCACTCAAAATGAGTAATATAATCGCAATTCAACTTCTGAGTGGTGTACCGTCTTGGCATTTCTTCGTAATGCAAAACCACAAATTATTAAAGGGATAGTTCACCCAAAAATGAAAATGATCCCATGATTTACTCGCCCTCAAGCCATCCGAGGTGTATATGACATTCTTCTTTCAGACGAACACAATCGGAGATACAGTGCATTTAAACTATCCTGGCTATTGTGTTCGTCTGTAAGAAGAATGTCATATACACCTCGGATGGCTTGAGGGCGAGTAAATCATGGGATCATTTTCATTTTTGGGTGAACTATGCCTTTAAGTTATTGAAGGTCAAACCGTTACATGCAAACGTGTGTATCTCTGTATACAAATATTCTCTACTACTCAACATTAGGGGTGTAGCGATACCTTCATGTCACGATTCGATACATATCACGATACTGAACTCACGATACGATATTATTACGATACTCCAAGACATGTGATAAAAGGTTAACAAAAAATGTATTGTGTTACATTGTGTGTGTGAATGAATCGGCTTGGACTTGCTGCTGAAACCCAAAGCACAGGACAATGGAGACACCAGAATAAACATATTCATGATTCTGAAGCTGAAAACACAGGATTATTGTAGACGAATATGCTTGAACTCTTTCACTGACTAGATATATTTAAAATAATGTAGGACACTTTTTACTGGTAACATTTGGCATTATCAGTATTCCCCCATTGCATTATTATACACCAGGGGTCTCCAACCTTTTTTCATTTGAGAGCTACTTTTTAAAAATGAAAGTGGCCGAGAGCTACTCATGTAATACAATACTTAAATCTCCTAAATAATGTCTCATAACTCATATTAACAGCTATCCAAACTGTTTTAGACCTAAAATATTTTTTAGGCCTATATATGTCACCCTTAAATGTCAGAGAAAAGAACAGAATCAGAGATTTATTTATTTTTTATAGAAAATTGTACTTTGCATATTATACTTTGCACTTATAATTTCCTTTCATGATTATAGTGACCAAAATGATCACGGTTATCACAGAATTCTGTTAAAAAAATACTACTAAATAAAATCAATTCACCAAGTTATATGTCGAAAACCAGCAAATAACAAAAAAATAGCATCAATATGCTCTATTTGTTTAAATAAACATTAAAATAATAACATTAAAAATGATGGCCAGATTTTAAAGGAGTGTCTTGCAACATGTTATCTACTAACATGTACAAGTTCAAATAAAGTTTTGACAAAAAAGGTTTTATAAAAAGATAAACCTCACATATTTCAGCCTTTAAATCATTTTTATAAAAAGAATGAGTAAAAAAAGATAAATTACGGACATTTACAATGCACATTAGCTTATCTTTTATTATTAATAGTAAAATTCATGTTGACTGAGCTTTCAATGTTGTTACGGAAAGGGTGAAGCTGATTGGTTGGATCTTGTCACATGACCTGCGGTGCGCTCGCGGCATTTGAGGTGTTTTCATCTCGCTGCGCCTGGAAAAAATGAGCGCGTCGCTTCAATTATGAGCGCGCTTGCCCACGCGCCTACATTTGAAATGACGAACTTGAGCGCGCAAAAGACGCGATATGTGAACGGCCCCTTGGCGAGCAACTTCCAATCAGGCCACGAGCTACTGGTAGCTCGCGAGCGACGTGTTGGAGACCCCTGTTATACACTATATTCAACATTATATATAGTAGTTTAATGTAGTACTGACACTAAAACTCTGTAAACTTGATTTTTTTTTCCCTCACACAGTAATTTTTATTTTGGGTGAACTATCCACACTACATATTCTCACTATCCACATTGTTGTATTTTGTATGGCAATATATTGTGACACCCGTAATTACCATCCACCCCTGTGGAGAGAGCGGCATGATGTTTGTTTAACCGAGCTGAAGATCTGCGAGACGCGTAAGTGTGCACACATCTAGTGGCCGCTGCTCACCGTGGCTCTGAGCATGGAGCTCTTCCTCGTGGCTCTCTTCAGCCTCTCGCTGCCGCTGCTGGGGAACGAGAGGAGGCTGCTGGTCTTCCTGTAGTGACCCGGCCAGTGCTTGTCCTGCAGTCTGGGCCGGCCTGGCCTCCTCCTGACCCCGAGAGGCTTGGGCACGGGCACGGGTCTACAGGGGGCCCGTCGCTTCACCTTCACGTCCCCTTCTGTTACGGCACGAAACTGAGATCCTGAACGGGTTTCACCAGATAGAAATAGAGTTAGAATAAATACATACATACACGGCAACACTTTATTTTGATGGTCCCTTTTGAACATTCTGTCGACTGGAAGTAAAGCCACGTTTCCACCGCAGGAACTAGGGGGTTTGGGCTGGTACCCGGTGTGTTTAGGGTCTAAATTAAGTTCTGGGTAACTATCTGGAGGTAGTACTTTTCAGTTCAGGAACTTTCAGCGGCGGGACTTGCTGATTGGTCGAGCTCATGCCGCATTTTGATTGGTTGACTCAACACAGCATTTTATTTCAACCACCATTTTTTTAAATCTGTTGCGGTGCGTGCAGTAAGAGTTGCTATTCGAATCAACAATGGAGTTTAAAAAATACGACAGACGACGAGGTTCAGGCTTTATTAAGCTTAAATTAAGAGGATGAAATCCAGCGGGGACTAATTTGCCAGGTCTGGTGGAAAAAAAGTGACAAATTGTTCCTGGTAATTTCGGTGGAAACGCAGCTTAACTTTGCAACTACATGTCAACTATCTCTCATTAGAGTATTAGTAGACTCTCTGCTTAATATCTGCTAACTCTTTATTGTTAAGCTCCCCTAAAAGACATTATATTGACTATAAGCAACTTTTCAAGTACATGTCTTAACTTATTCTAACCCTAACCCTACCAGTCTACTAATACTCTACTAATACTCTACTAATACTCTACTAATACTCTACTAATACTCTACTAATACTCTACTAATACTCTACTAAAACTCTCTACTAATACTCTTCTAATACTCATCTAATACTCTTTTAATACTCTTCTAATACTCTCTACTAATACTCTTCTAATACTCTTCTAATACTCTCTACTAATACTCTTCTAATACTTTACTAAAACTCTCTACCAATACTCTCTTTTAATACTCTACTAATACTCTACTAATACTCTTCTAATACTCGACTAATACTCGACTAATACTCTTCTAATCCTCTACTAATACTCTTCTAATACTTTACTAATACTCTCTACTAATACTCTTCTAATACTTTACTAATACTCTCTTCTAATACTCTACTAATACTCTCTTCTAATACTCTACTAATACTCTCTTCTAATACTTTACTAATACTCTCTACTAATACTCTTCTAATACTTTACTAATACTCTCTTCTAATACTTTACTAATACTCTCTTCTAATACTCTACTAATACTCTACTAATACTCTACTAATACTCTCTACTTATACTCTACTAATAATCTACTAATACTCTACTAATACTCTACTAATACTCTCTACTAATACTCTTCTAATACTTTACTAAAACTCTCTACCAATACTCTCTTTTAATACTCTACTAATACTCTACTAATACTCGACTAACACTCGACTAATACTCTTCTAATCCTCTACTAATACTCTTCTAATACTTTACTAATACTCTCTACTAATACTCTTCTAATACTTTACTAATACTCTCTTCTAATACTCTTCTAATACTCTTCTAATACTCTACTAATACTCTACTTATACTCTACTTATACTCTACTTATACTCTCTACTAATACTCTTCTAACACTCTCTTCTAATACTCTACTAATACTCTCTTCTAATACTCTACTAATACTCTCTTCTAATTACTCTTATAATACTCTTATAATACTCTTATAATACTCTTATAATACTCTTATAATACTCTACTTATAATACTCTTATAATACTCTTATAATACTCTACTAATACTCTACTAATACTCTACTAATACTCTACTAATACTCTACTAATACTCTCTTCTAAAACCCTTCTAATACTCTATACTAATACTCTCATATTCTTCTAATACTATTTTAATACTCTTCTAATACTCTACTAATACTCTTCTAATACTCTACTGATACCCTTCTAATACTCTTCTAAAACTCTCTACTAATACTCTTTTAATACTCTAACACTCGACTAATACTCTACTAATACTCGACTAATACTTTACTAATATTCTTCTAATACTTTACTAAAACTCTCTACTAATACTCTTCTAATACTCTTTTAATACTCTCTACTAATACTTTACTAAAACTCTCTACCAATACTCTCTTTTAATACTCTTCTAATACTCTTCTAATACTCTACTAATACTCTCTTCTAATACTCTTCTAATACTCTTCTAATACTCTCTTCTAATACTCTTCTAATACTCTAATAATACTCTCTTCTAAAACCCTTCTAATACTCTATACTAATACTCTCATATTCTTCTAATACTATTTTAATACTCTTCTAATACTCTACTAATATTCTTCTAATACTCTTTTAATACTCTTCTAATACTCTACTAATACTATCTTTTAATACTCTTCTAATACTCTACTGATACCCTTCTAATACTCTTCTAATACTCTACTAATACTCTTCTAAAACTCTCTACTAATACTCTTTTAATACTCTCTACTAATACTCTCTTCTAATACTCTAACACTCGACTAATACTCTTCTAATACTCGACTAATACTCTTCTAATCCTCTACTAATACTCTTCTAATACTCTTCTAATACTCTCTACTAATACTCTTTTAATACTCTCTACTAATACTCTTCTAATACTCTCTACTAATACTCTTCTAATACTCTCTACTAATACTCTTCTAATACTCTCTACTAATACTCTTTTAATACTCTCTACTAATACTCTCTTCTATTACTCTAATACTCGACTAATACTCTACTAATACTCGACTAATACTCTAATGAGAGTTAGTAGACATGTAGATGCAACGTTACTTATAGTACTGGTACACTATAGTTATATAATGTGTTAAAGGGACCATCAAAATAAAGTGAAAGCAGAAACACAGCTGAGGTGTGTCTACCACTGGACTTTTTGATGGCCTTTACCATAAAGTTCTTGTCGTTCCCGCTTAATCTTCGCCTTCTGATTGGCTTCCAGTTTGACCACAGAGAAAGGGGACGGGCCGGTGACCGAGAGATCCCTCAGCGCCGAGACCTTGATCTCGCGGCCCTCCTCGCTGGCGTAACTGCCTTCCTCTTCATCTTCCTCTTCCTCTGTTTCGTGAAAAAGCATTTCAGTGTGGCTGTTCACATATGACTTTAATATTTATGAATATCCAAACATAATATATTGGAATCACTAGAAAGAAATGGTTGCAGTACAACTACATCTTGATCTGATTTGGAAATATTCCTGTGCAAACATTTGTACACCATATGAAATAAGGAGTTGTGGTGTTGCTGTCAGGGTTTCTGAGGCGTTTAAGTAGCAAGGAAACTAGACATCATGCGAACAACTTCATATTCTGCTGGATTTCCATCAGCCAAGTTATTGATATTTAAAACGTTTACTGACAGATATTGTTAAACACAAAAGTCTGCACACATTTTCCTGCAATTTCAGTACATTTTTGTAACTGTTCGCAAATCTATTTTTTCCCAGGCTTGTCTATTATTGTGTTATTAACTATTTCATATAAATCACACATTAAGATTTATTTGTTGTTATGTTGGTTCAGGACAATCTCTTCCTGGACCAAACAAAAAGTACGAGAATAACACACACATAAATGTACACACACACACTGCTCTCTCGCAAACTACAAACTTTTCTCACTGCCGCTAAGGGCACATGCACGCAATTAAGAAATATGCAAGAGATCAACACAAGTGGACGATGCTAAATACAGGTGTAAACTGAGCTCTGAAGTGTTTTGAGCTCGTCAACTTTCAAACACTTCCAGAGGGAGTTGAAAACATATTCGACTGGATTGCTTTCGTAGTGTAAACGCTCATGTGATCGAATGTGTTCAAAGATCGTCTTCTCTCCGTCTACTGACCTCATGAGTGAACATCATGAGAAGAGCTCTAGCCAGACGGGGTTAAACTTTGACAGATGAAGACCCAAGTTTGGTTTAAAGATGAAAACATACCAAACACAATGTTCTCTCACCATTCCTGATTTCTAACACACACACTCAGCGTTCGGCTGGTCTTGCGGTTTTAGAGCAGAAACTAAAGCTGATGCTCTCCGTGTGTTTTTCCGTCGTCTCTGAACAAGCAATCGGACTAGCTTATTTTGTCCATTAGATCAAAGATCTGAAAAAAACATACATTTACCCGCCCATAGACCCTCCCCTCGAAGAAATCAGGACAGAAGTGTTTGAAAGTGGACAGAAGAGACGGATTAAAACAATAGGTGTGAACGGGAATGTTTCCCTCGTCCACTTGTGATCCGATCCACCAAAACGCATCTTAACACCAGGTGTAAACAGAGCCGAAGCTTTTCTTACTCTTCCGAGACGAGACTCTCACCTTGCTCAGAGGACTCGCTCTCCAGAGGAGACGTCTCTCCGTCCTCGTCCACTCCCGCGCCCCTGGCCTGCGGGATCCTGGACCCTGGCAAACCAGCTGCTGATCCGGGACTTTTCTTCCTTTCCCTTTTCACCGCCACTGGCTCGTGCCTCTTCCAGCACTCCTGTGTCCCGCTGTCCCCACTCGTGGCTGGGAGAGAGCGCAAGACACAATCACTTCCATGAATACACAACTTTATACTATATCTGAAAACAAAGCATGTCATTGGTTGCATTTGCAATTCGCAAAAGTCCATAATTTAGGTTTCAATACTAAGACTGTGCATTTTGGTTATTCTGACTACTCAAGTACCCGACAGATAGACTTCAGCACTTTTGGCATCTTGTGGTGTGATGTTGCATTTTTAAGATGATTACAAGTCGGAATGCATTTTATATCGGTCACCATATCGGTATCGGCCGATATATGTTTATTTTTAATGTTATCGTTATCGGCCCGATAAGAAAATGTGCCCGATATATTAAAGCCGATAAATAATGTGTTATTTCCTTCAGCTGAGACACTTTAGATGCACACTGTTCAACATGATGGTTTTGAATTCCTTGAAATATGATTGGAAACACTTCAACAAATAAAAATACGGTTCAGTGCAACAGTCATATCATATCGGCTACATAAAATTAACATATAATTAATTATAGAACATCATAATTGTTTGATTGGGACATGGCTTTTAATTGTGAGACTTTTGTTTTTGTAATCAGGCTCTCAAAAATTATATAAAAATTTGGACTTATATATCAATATATCGGTTATCGGCTTTCAAATATAAAGAATTATCGGTTATCGGTATCGGCCAAATTTTTTATATTTGCATTGCTAAAAAAGCTGTAGGGATGCATACCGATATATCGAAATATATATCGGTTATCGGCTTTCAAATATAAAGAATTATCGGTTATCGGTATCGGCCAAATTTTTCATATTTGCATCGCTAAAAAAGCTGTAAATTCTAAATGACAAAAAAAAAAAAAGTACAATTATATTGTAGATTGTACTGACTTCTATTTTTGAAATGTTATCCTGCCATTCTGGGATGGTGATGTTTAGTTCTTCATTGTTACATAATCTTAGCTTTGTCTGTTAAAGCCATATGACCCAGGGCCACCACTGAAGATGAGTTTTACCTGTATCGCTCAGGCTCTCGGACTCGTTGGCTCCGCTGAGCCGTGAGGAATCCCTCTTAGAGTTACTGTGGCCCGAGTACAGGCTCTTAGAGGACAAGGAGAACTCGGGGTCCCTGGAAGCAGGAGTGTGTCGTCCACCGGACGCCTTCTGCTTGAGGTGAGTTATCTGTTGATCAAGGGTGCTATTCTTCCTATAACACTGTGACTTCATCTGAGAGAGAGCAATAGACATTATGAGGCCAACATCAAGACTTGTTCTGGGCTACTTTCTGAACCCTACAAATCACACTGTTCACATCAGGGTTTGAAATTAACTTTTTCACTCACCGGCCAATTTGGCTACTAAATTTCTTATTCAAACTAAATCCTGTCATCCATCTCTTCCTCTTTCATCCTTTTCATCAAAAATTTATTTTAAGTGGAAAGATCAATACAGTACAAAGAACATCATGAAAATGTAGGATGTTGGAAAATAAAGTCTTTCCTGTTAACCACATGCTTTTTAATCTTCACTATTGCTTCAATGCAAATGAACAAGCGTGCCGTTATTTGCTGCGCAGTGACGTGTGTGTTCAAGTAAGCAGATATGAGCAGATTCTGCGCAATACACTGTGTTTAACCCTCTGGGGACCAGAGTGTTTTTGGGGCCCTTGGGATGTTTTGACATGCACTGACATTTGTGCTTTTTTCAGTTATTTATAAACATGTTAATGGCAAAGGTGTAAATTCACTCTATATAGCACAAACGGGGCTACCATGATATCTGAGCAACATGTATGTACATGTTTGTAATTTTAAGAGAATAATGTTTATGCGTGGTTATTGAATAAAATAAAAATGAAAGTTGCTGAAATAAGGCCACAAAACACATATTGATTATTTCTTCACAAGACTTTTGAAAATTGTATCACATAGTCTAGAATATCATGAGGACTCACGAGTATTTCCACTAAATCTGGGAGATTTGGCTTACCGTACACAAACTTCTCCAGCAAAGTGAGTAAACATAATAAGTAACCCGTCAAATTGGCTAGTGATTTGACAGCACAGTTGATTTTTACCCGCATTTGGCGGGTGTTCATTTCAAACCCTGGTTCACATCTCCAAATCAATCCTATGGGAGCAAGAGAAGAAAGGACAAAGACACTGACCTGTGAAGAGCTGAGACGGCCAAACCCTCGATTGGACAGTTTCTTCTTCTTCTTCTGAGAGTCTCCAGCTCCCCGGTGCTCCTCTAGTGGACTTAGCCCCGCCCCCACCAACCTGTCAATCAAACAGCAGACGAGGCTGTTACAGACAGTGCCGCTCAGCAGTGCTGGATATTTGCATTCTTCCCGTAATCCATTTATGCATATCCGTTACGTCATTAACCCCTGCGTCTTTTTGTGCCATTGAATCATTCACTCAGTATATTAGTTCAAAAGTGTTTTGTGACCAAATCAAGTCTTATTATCATTTAATAAAACTGATTTCTGCACTAATGACAACAAAACAACCTATTGTTTATTTTATTTTGAAGCTTTTGAGCTTGAATTTTAACATTAGCATACACAAATTAGGATAACTCTTCAGCCATTTTCTTTCTGTGTTAAACTGAGGCTACGTTCACACTGTCAGTCCAAATCCGATTGTTTGTGTGTCCGATTGGAAATCTGATCTTTTCTGCTCGTCCGGCACTTTGAAACAACACGGCTTCGTTTCAACAAAGTTTCGGCAGCGACTTTCCTATAACGACGTTTGACGTTTACTAGGGGTGTGACGAGATCTCGTGCCACGAGATCTCGCGAGACTAAATATGACGAGATTTCTCGTCGAGTGAAAAAGCTGTCTCGCGATATCCCCATTAATTAGTCATTGCCGTTGCAATCAGTGCAGCACGAATCACAGTTCACTGATCGCGTGATGATGGCGGAGGATTCGTTGCGCAACAGACTAAACGTCTGGTAAATGTCTTATCTTGTAGAATGCGCGCTCAGCACCGCTGCTCCCTATACGCGCGGTCACGAATTTGTAAGTGAAAGTAAAACACAAGCTCCCTGATGTGCATTGCGCACAAATTAGGCTGCATACATAAAATAATCCGTCTCCCAATACCCATCTCTGGACTGTTTATTTGCGGCTCTGGTCTCTGTTGGCACTGCGAATATTGAGAGAGCACTGTAACGTACAAAGGACAACAGACAAGGGAGGCTGCGTTTCTGAACTTATAATCGGAACGCAAGAACAACTGTAGAGACAAACAGCCTCGTTTCTCTCGGCCTTTTCCGAACTCACCGCATTAACCCTATAACTGCCGGTGCAAAATAAAACCGCAATTTCACAACAATTATAAAGAGTCTGTGTGCTAACTTTGATTATGGTTGCACTCGCACTTATTGTTTGCACTTAATAAGACTAAGAGAAAACAGTTATTTATTTTTGTTATTTATACGGTTTTTATTTCTCTGTTAAATGTGTGTTAAAAGGAGTTCAGTTAGGAGGTCACACACAGCCTCAATCAGAAGTTCTGAAAGCTCTTAAATCTACAGTAAGGTCTGAAGAGACTAATGTGAAATTATACAGGAGAAAAGCCAGTCAATAAAAACCTATTACATTGCTTGAATATTGTTTTCTTTCAATGCATTTGATAATTCATACTCATAAAGTAGACCTGAAATGACATGCATTAGAAGATTATTAGTTAAAACATTGAAAAATGCACCTGCATACTATTTTTCCAGCCATGAATTTTGTCATTGAGGATTTCTGAAAAATTGTGCAAAAATCTCGTCTCGTCTCGTTCTCGTGAGCCCAATCTCGTGTCTAGTCTCGTCTTGTGAGATAAGCGTCTCGTCACACCCCTAACGTTTACATTTTACGTGGCGTGAGAAAGCCACATAAATCAGAGCGGTCAGACAGAAACGGGTTTACAGAAATGTGATTTGAATAGGATTTCAAACCACATATGGATGTAAAAAACGCATTTCATGTGATTTTTTTGCTGTTCACAATAGCTAATTCTGATCGGATTTCAATCGGAAATGCACAAAAATCGGATTTGGACTCACAGTCTGGTGGTTGATTATGATTTCACTTTTCTAGCTTTAGTTAGTGTGTAATGTTGCTGTTGGAGCATAAACAACATCTGCAAAGTTACAGCGCTCAAAGTTCAAAGCAAAGGGAGATATTTGCTTTTACAGAAATGGCTTTTTTAGGGCTACAACAAACGGCTGGTAGGAACTACAATGAGCTTCTTCACGGGTTAGTGACATCACACACCCTAACATTTACATAAACCCCGCCCCCGGTACACGATTTATAGATTATCATGACAGAATATGCTAATCAATGACTAAGATAACACATCAGCTTCATAAATTTATCAACTAGCCATTCAGAAATGTTGTCTACATGTTGTCACTTCTTCTTGAGTCTCTTCATCTTTGTCCGACTCCGGTTTGAACATAAAAGGCTAAAAGTTTTTGAGATTTTCAGGACACGAGCTCTTGAAGCTCCGCCCCCTGTGCCGGGAGCAGCCGCTCATTTGCATTTAAAGGGACACACACAGAAACGGCGTGTTTTTGCTCACCCTCAAAAAGTGACAATTTTAACATGCTATGTAAAAATATCTGTGGGGTATTTTGAGCTAAAACTTCACACACACTCTCTGGGGACATCAAAGACTCATTTGAAATCTTGTGAAAAGGGCATTATAGGACACCTTTAAAACAGTCTTTTTCAGTGATGAGTGTATTTGCTCAGCAGGTCCAACCAATTAAATTCTCCTTCAGAAAGCACATTATATTCCTGTGTGCGTGTGCAATAATCAGTCTTGAAGTCAGGTGCTTCACAGGAGACTTAAAAAAAAAAATACAAGCGATTTGTTCACTTAAAAGTTGCTCAGGGAGTGTCGGTATATATGAGTAAACAAGAAGAGATCAGAACAAACCGCCGCCTGCTCTTCCTCTGATGAGTATTGAAACAGTGAAGAAGAAAAACGCATGTTCTCCACACCCCACGCTTGAGGAACTGTGATCAGACAGCCGTCCCGCCACTGTTCACGGGCATAAAAAAAGCCCAGTGTGAATTATCAGGGGAGATTTCTGCTACAAAAAGGGGCCGGTTGCTTTGAAAAGACAGAGCGAGGCATTTGAGGGCACTGCCTGTTTGACGCTATTGTTCTTGGTGAATATCAGAGCCCTTGCAGTCGTGTTTCCATATCAGCAAGGCTCTGAACGCAGGCTCGGAGCGAATGCCCTTGAATTTCCCTGGAAACCTGCCCGACAGACCGAACGCAAGACCGACGGCACACAGGACAAAAGACCCCCTTCCGTCCTCCAGCAAAAGAGCCGAGCGCTAGTGTGCCGTCACTCACACGGGCCGTCTAATCGCCGTCAGACATCTCTGGAGAGGCTGTCTTTGTGGAAACCTAATTGAGATTTTGTTTGCTGTAATGTGCTTCTGCTTATGTAATCCCAGGGGGAAATGCTGGTTTGCTCTGAGGTTGCTTTTTTAAAAGCTCAGGAGACATAATGGAGATCTCAGTTGTGTTTCATTTAAGCATCAACTCTGCCTCACACCAAGAACGGTTACTATAAAGATAACTACATTAGCATCCATATACCAATGTTCTGTTTATTATAAGAGCGCTATTATAAGTCGTCGGCCGTTTTAAAAGCTTGAGCTCTTTTAATTCGAGTGGATTCAGATTGGCTGTAAAAATCGTTCTGAAAGCGATTCCAAGAATATCATTCCTCGTTATCGCCATAGCAAGTGGTTTGGACTTTCCTATTTTTACAGAATTATGACGATCATCAAAACTAGTTATCGTTATTGTTACTGTCCTTGGTGTGAACATGTACGGCATTGGTGTAAAATCTTGCGAGTGCAAACAAACGACGTAATCTCGTCAATGGAAACTTGGACACACGATTGAACATACTAGGACACGGTGTAAAGGTCCGCATGTTAAAAAATAAACACGACCTCACGTTGTGTCAATCACATTTACATACTAGTGTCTACGAAACTTTCTTCCGTCATAAAAAAATTCGATTTTCTGCATTTTCGCATTCGTTTTGAGAGGTGTTTTGACCATTCGGAGCCACCGTACAAGCGAACGCCAAAATCCAGAACTCTTCAGGATCAAATGGTTCATGGGAATTGGTGGTCTTGGCTTATTATGTGGCTATAGTATCGCTAGCAAAGCATCAAACTGAGCCAATGACATCCTGATGTAAACTCTGGATCGCTCGGGATAGGCCCTCAGTGAACTCTCCTTCCTCTCTACGCAATCTCAGGATTGGATGGACTGACCCAATATTTCCTCTTCCCTTTTCTCTTTTTAAATAAGAGAGAGAACAACAAAATCATCCTCACTGCTTGAAGACTCCATTTTGTATTGTTTTACGATTTTCTTCCGCAACGGATTAATCAATACGCATCGGACTCAGTGTGCGAGGTTTCAGTGCGTGACGAATTTTTAGGATAACGCAAATTTCGGACTCAGTGTGCGAGGACCTTAAGAGTGAGAGTGTCACTAATCATTGCTGAGATCTCTACAGAATCTGATGAGAAATTATTAAGTTCATGTTGAGATTTCCGATGCTGAACTTGACAAATCTGAACTCACTTTGGGACATCATTTAGATCTCTTCTCAAACTCAAAAGAAATTACCGGGGTCTTTTTCCCAGGAAAAGTCAATGTCTCCATTTGATCTTCATTTAAACTCATCGGTGTCTAGGGAAATTAAAGAGATCTCTTGCGATTCTTCTTTCCTTGCGGGACAAAGTCAGATCAGCTGGGTTTTGTGCTGGGAATGCATCAGTGGCTATTGACGCTAATATACTAGTGTGTATATGTGCACACAAGAATGGAGTGTGTATATGTTGCTGTTTGGTGATTGACAGGCAAGGGGACAGAGGCAGCAATGGAGTGTGTGTTGTTTCCCCGTGAGGTAGACCGCACCGCGCAACGAACTGACAAACACAACGTGACACGGACCCTCCCCTTGGTGCGCGCTCAAGGCGGCTAATTAAACAGCTCTCTCGAACACACACACACACACACTGTAAGGGATTTGAAGCACAGACACAGTGTCAGACACACACACAGGATGTGAGCTAGAGTTATACTGACCCACTGCCCTCAATCACAAGAGGCTAAATGAAAAGCAGCAAGTGACAATGTCTTTGCATGGCGTCACCTTCACCAGAGAAAACACTGAACGCCTGCTAATAGTGTCACACTGTAATACCCAGAGTCAGTGACAACAAACACTATCATACAACAAACCAAAACAGCAAATTAGCTATGAGGATTAAAAGGATTTTAAGGATTCAGGTTCTGAATCTGATTCCACTTAACCAGCGATTCCCAACAGAGGTTTGTGTACAACGGAGGCAAAATGGAGATTTAAGGCCCATTCACACCAAGGACGATAAATATAACGATAAAGATAACGATAAAGATAACGATATAGTTCTAAAAATCATTCTCCATATTAAAGAAAGGCAAAGTTCACACCACAGCTGTAACAATAACGATATAGAGAAACGATATCGTTGGGATCACATTCAGAACGATTATATTTTCCAGCTGTCGAACGATAAAACACTGACAGCCAATCAGAACCCACTCGAATTTCAGGGCTCGCGCATTTAAAATGGCAGACGACATTGTGGGGAAGTTAATCGCCGAGGTCCAGAAACATCCAGCAGTGTTGGACAAGTCAAGCCCCTTTTCATGAAAATGGATATGGAAGACAATCGTTCATTCCCTCTGAATAAACGGTGAGAAGTATTAACGTTACCTCAGGGATCCACAACATGCTTCCTTTGAAGTTGCGGTGAAAAAGACTAGGTGTTGTTTCAACCCGAAAAACGTAACCATCCCGACAACCATATCAGCCAGCCATCCCGACCAACGTAATTAATAAATGATATTTTATAACATTATAATATCACGGTGGATAAGCTCAAAAGCAGAAAATCTAGTGTGATGTTTAACACAATGAAGATCAGAGACTGCCAGCCTGTTAAACGCTGCTAGACACACACACACACACACACACACACAGTGCCCTGGGTGTCGCTGTCATGTGGACTCGCATCGAAGCGGCTGGTTGGCACGAGGGCAGAGCCAGGCGAGCGGAAACAGACACGAGGTGACATGACAGAGAACACAACGAGAAAGAGGTTTTAGGGGGTGTTTGGAGTGTCAATAACCCTCTTCAAACCTCTAAACACTGACAGATCCTCCGCAGGCATCGAGGAACACACTGCATTCACTCATCCTGACTACATCCATACAAACCCCACAGTTCTGCTACCAAAATACACATAGGCAGCGCACCAGCTCCCGTAGAAGCTCATGAGTGACTGCTTTGGAAAGCTTAGCGCTGGAAACAACTCTCAAGAAACACACATGGAGACTCAACTCATGATCGATTCCAGTGGAGTCCATGTTAGCACCATGCTAAGCTAAAACCGTGAAACTGGTGTGAGAAAACTGCATAGTGCACGTATATTAAACATGCAGTCGTTTTTGAATTAGATTAAACTATTATTATTGATAAGGTTTGGTATTAAATGAGTTTCTCAACTCATTTTTTCACTGAGCTTGTCTATCAAACACAATTCTGCCTGAATATGGTAATCATTTAGAGCCACTATGTATTAAATTACTGCGGCGAAAGTATTTTTTGCAAGGGTTATTATAGAAACAACAATTGTTGGTTACACTTTATTCCGTAACACTTTATTTTACAGTGTCGTTTGTTGTTACATGTACTTACCATTATAATAACAGTAAATTATGCATAATTACATGCAACTAACTCTCAACCCTAACCCTATAGTAAGTGCATGTAGTTGTAATATATAGTACTTCAATATATAATTACACTGTAACAATGACACCTTAAAATAAAGTGTAATATTTTTTTTTAACCCTTTACTAAAGGATTAGGGTTTGGTTTATGGTTAGTTGCATGTAATTATGAATAATTAATAGTTATTACTATAGAAACTACACGTAACAAAGTGTTACCCGATTGTTTTACAGATTTATGGTAATCTGATCTAACTATGGTTACCATGGTACATCTTTGGGGAATGCTGCTTATTACATGTTCATTAAGTTAATTACAATAGTAGTAACTAATCCTAAACAGCTCCACAAAATAATACACGTATATTATGTGGTGTTCATTAATAGCATTTCCATATGTAATAACACATTAAATTGAAAAATGCCTAAGACAGAAAGCAGCTGCCAGCTTATATTCATAAACACACATTAGCACACCCAGACACACATGAATTAATTGCAGTGTAAGTGTGCGAGTCGTGGTGAACCGGCCCGCGCTGACCCGAGTGCTAAACGACAGGGATCTGTCACATTCCTGGCAGAGAAATAGATCAGGGGAGAATCCACACACACACACACACACACACTGTGCTCTCATTACATCCACCCCCTTCCCCAACAGTCCGCCATTGACATTGCCATTGGCACCCATACAACAAGTTTATTCACACACACACACACAGAGATTTAAAGGTGCAGTGTGTAATGTTTAGTGGTGAGGTTGTGAACTGCACCCAACAGAAGTTACGGTGGCCGACAGGAAGTGATGACGCCAGTTAAGCAATGAGGTTTCTTTACAAAGATGAATTAAGAAATTAGGTTTACTTAATTATTCAGTAAAACGATATGTTATTGTGAATATTATTGTCACCTGTTCATCATTGTGTCAGTGTTTTATTCGCTGACTTTAACTCGCTTCTTTCCACGAAGAACAACATAGTGACGAAACGAGTTTGTCCGTTCAGGGCCACTGTAGAAACATGTCGATATAAGGAGACCCGCGGTGTGTGTAGACAGAAACGGCTCATAAGGTAATAAAAACATGACGGTTCATTAAGTAAGGTCTTTATACACCACTGAAAACATAGTTATGAATATGATATTGCATTTCTGTCAACAGATCCTCCTAAATATTACACACTGCACCTTTAAGATAGTGTCTAAAAGCCTGAATCATGCAAACATACAGTGAAACCTTGGAAAGGAGACACAGCACACCGCTATACGCATGTAATGCAGTTCAGGCCCAGTCCTGATTAGGAGCGTAACTGGACTCGCTCATGAGGTCAGATGAGCTCTCCGGTTCCTGATATGGTCTGAGTCGAGGCCTGCTGGGTCGTGTTGATGCGGTGGGGTTTATCTGCTGTGTGTGAGAGGCATGCTCAGGGGACAGAAGAACAGCAGTGACTTACTTTACTCGTTTCTGAGGGTCGTTGAGGGTCCCGGAGCCGAGACCAGGGACTGATTTACGTTTGCGTGGTCTACCAGGGCCTCGACGTGCTGGGCTGCGAGGAGTCTCCTCTTTCCTGGAGGAAAACATAATGAACTTTTGCCACTCGTGTCAAAATGTTATTGTGCAAATGATGACCCTTTGAATATTTTCAGCATGAAATGGTCTTAGGGTTATTGAGTTTCATAACTATGACTAGGGCAACCACAACATAATGGTTAAACTGATAATCACGATTATTTTGCTCAAAATTATAATCGCGATAATTAATCAGACATGAGACGGTTAGCATTATATATAAGGCATAACGACCATTTAGCGCGTTTTAACCAAGCTACACTTCCCCCAAACGGTTCATTTAACCAACTATGATAACTTCATCAGCCAAGTCAACACAAAATGCATGGTTTTGATAAGCGCTTTTCTTCACATTAGATCTTCTAAGCGACACAATGCGATTGCAAATTAGACCAATTACACATCCAGATCGCTCTGCAAATTCGCACTGCAAAGAACGACGGCCTACTTGTTGATATGGACTGAAAACTGGCTGTCGTTTTCAACTGATTCACATCAGGAAAAGTGGTAAAACCTTAAACTTCAAAAGATAGAACAGTGAAACTCCTCGTGATTTCCAAATTACTGTTCATTTAATTCTGCAAACATAATCCCAAACAATAAGGTAAACATCTAAGTTTAAATATTTTCCAAATAAATCGCTGAGGGTTTGATTGGAAAGCACAGTTTGGGGGATTTCAGCTCTTTACATCTGGCAACCACAAACATCAACGCTAGTGGGGACTTGTTACCAATGCAAGATAACGCAAATATCAATTAAATGAAAAAACGCGTTTTGTGGGCAAATATCGCGATGATTATTAAAAATAAATAATCGAGAGAGGCAAATATCGGTATCGTGATTAATACACAGTTAATCGTGCAGCCCTACGCCTGTCGCCTAGGAGTGTTTGCATTTAAACTGGGATCCGACAATTTGGTAACACTTTACAATACGGTTAATTAGTTAACGACCTTAGTTAACATGAAATAAGAATGACCAATACTTCTACAGCATTCATTAACCTTAGTTAATATAAATTTCAACTAGGGCTGGGCGATATGGCTGAAAACTGTATCACGATATCAGTGTTTCATATCGGTCGATATCAATAATTATTGATTTTTTTATGACCCATTTAAAATAAGGACCAGGAGAAAAAATATATTACATTTAAACATTTTTATTTTAAACTTACCCTTCCTCTGATTACAATCCCAAGACAGAAATGTCAACACAACCATGGAAAACTCAAATAATTAGAATGTAAACATAAGTCTAAATTCACAATCAGACCTGCAAACTCCTCAGAGTAAAAAAGGTGACAGTGGTGCGGCGGGACAGGGGTGGTGGGGGGTTGTGATCGTACGTGCCCCCTGCTTGATTTCTTTTTTTAGACATCACGGTTCGGTACGATTTCGGTACAATGGAGTAAAAAGCAAAACAGAAATATATTAGGCATTTTTATAAATGTCTTAAGCCTTGTATTTTTTAAATAAGTTTTATTAATAAAGGCATAGAACCAGTTTATTTATAGTGCACTGATAATAGTTTTATATAATTGGTTTATTAATTAAACTAATAAAAAGATAGATATGAGATATGTTTGGTAATTGTACCTGAATGAATTTAAAATTAATTTGCTATATTTCAGATCAATATATTTGTTTTCCTTAATTTTAATTAACCCTAACTTTATTCTCACCAGAATTATAAATAATTGATTTCCGTATAAAATAATCTACCAACATATTTCACTTTCTTTTTTAATCAATGTGTAACTTAAATAAAAAATAAACAGATTAGTGCTCTGTTTTGAGGACAAGAAATGAAAACCAATGCGATATGATGAATGTCCAAAAGATGGAACACACAGACTGTTTTAAAAAGGGTTGGATAAATATGTTTTGCTTTTAAAACGGTGTGTGACAGTTGTAGGTTACAGTTTGACAAGAAATACAGTGTGACAAAAGCACAATGTTGTGTTTTATTGCGAGTATAGGCCTACACAAATATAAGTAAACACTTTGCAGACTGAATGATGTCCTATTAACAAAATGACGGAGTATGTTTTTATGTTTCCACTGTTCGATCGCGCCCGCGTGTCTCTCTCTCTCTCTCTCTCTCTCGCGCGCGGAGTCGGACACACACACACACACACACTCCAGCATTGAAATCTTGACATCGCAGCCTGTTCATTATGATGTGTTCACATCAAACGCGAATAGAGCGAATTATCCAATAATATTTCGCAATTCTAGCCTGCATGGCATGCAGATGAAGGGCACTCATTTTCTGCTTATCAATCGCCGGTTACTGAAGAGGAACCCAGCAGCACGAGACAACGATATGGCGCAACAAAACTGACACGTTACATGATTGCCTGAGCGTGTCACTCCCTACGTTGCTAGGTTACCAGAGAGCGCGTGCCTTTGATAATGCAACCAAACTTGCTTCGCAACCTGTGGTTTCTTCCGACGAAGAAAAAAAATATCGAACGTTTTATCGAACACATTTTTTATTGATATCGATCACGTGTCTATCGCGATACATATCGTTATCGTTTTATCGCCCAGCCCTAATTTCAACATTTACCAATACGTTATTAAAATCAAAGGTTGTATTTGTTAGCATTAGTTAATGCACTGTGAACTAACATGGACAAACTTTGAACAGATTAACTAACATTAACAAAAATGATTAAATACTGTAACAAATGTATTCCTCATGTTAGTTAATACATCCACTATGAACCTTATTGTAGAGTGTTACCGACAAAAATGTACGATATAATTGAAAAGTGACACAGATCCCCTAAAGCAAGGTCAATATTTTGAGTTTTGAGTTCAGGCTTACTGGTGGTCATGCTTTCTCTGGAGTTTGGCCAGCTCTTTCTGCTTCTCTTTGTAGCGCTGTTGCAGCTCTGCCAGCCTCACACGCATCTCCAACTCCTGCCCATCCATACTGTCCACACCTTTCACTGGACACACCTACAGGAACACAAGCACACACTTCCCTTAGTCGCTGGTTAGCGGCTCCAACCTCGGATGACTTCTGGACAGACTTTTGCTTCTAGCCCTGAGTTAAAACTAGGGATGCTCGATATATCGGCCACCATATCGGTAAACCGAAATTGCCCCTGACAGTGGACAACATGCGCTTTTCGGCAATATACGGCTTATTATGGTAATTCCGTCAGCAAATGACAGCAGCTTTCTGGCAGAGCGGGAGGGAAGGATTTGAACAGAGAGATACGAAGCGCGGCAGGTTAGAGTGTTTTGGATTGCATAAAATAGTAAAAGAAACTAACAAATACATTGCGAAAGAAGTGGTAGACAGCAGAAGAAGGGATTGGGATGATTTTTAATTAAACTTGGGAGGCGGATGGCCGTTACTCTTTCACGTATCTTTACATGTGGTGTACGCATGTGTATGTGTGTGTGTATGAAAAAAAGTGTCCTAAATGAAAACTGTGCAACCCAATGTCACAAAAAAGACTTGTATCTGATGTATTATACTTCATTTTTCAACTTTAAAGTGTTAGTTCCTTTCGTTTGTGATTTTTCTGTTTTTTAAAAATCAGAAAATGTATTCTCGTTTTTTTAATTTTTTGTCTATTTAAATTCTATTTACAAACTCACCACACACAATAATGGTCAATAACTGTAATTTGTTGAAAGCTAATCTTTTTCTGAAAAAGATGACACCTTGCACATGAAGATAGCACATTACTTTAGAATTTTACAGTCAAAAAATCAAAATGTGTGAAAAACACCTATTTTAGCTTCAGGTTCTAAAGGGTTAATGGTGAGACTTGTTTTTGTAATCAGGCTCTCAAAAATTATATAAAAATTTGGATTTAGATTTATCGGCCAATATATCGGTTATCGGCTTTCAAATAAAGAATTATCGGTTATCGGTATAGCCCAAAATCTTCATATCGGTGCATCCCTAGTTAAAACTTTTCTGAAATTTTAGTTTGTTACAGTCCTTGTGACACAAAAAAGTACTAAAGAGAAAGAACGCAAGTAAAGTAGGATGAAGAAAACATATTTGTTAGATACAGTATATAAAAAAACTGAGCATATGTAACACATTATGAACAACATGAAAAACATGTACACGAGAGAACAAAACAAGGGTGTGTTACCGGCTCATGGCGAGGTGTCCAGCTGCATTTTCTGCGCAAGTTGAGAGATCTTCTAGCCGGAAACTGCATCTCCACATCTGTGGCGCCGCCGTCCTGAGAGCCCAACTCAAGAGCGCGAGCGGCTGCCAGCGTGGCCAGACTCTGCAGGTCGAAAATCCACTGATCTTCTCCTTTTGGTGGAGAAAAGGAAACGCAACAAAAATAAGTCAAACCAAAGATGATTCAGACACCAGATATCATTTTTTACTAGTGTGTGCAGGACACTATAGTTCATTTATGTAAGTGAGGAGAGCAAAATAAAGTAAACTGTGACATATTATACCCAGAAACTCTTCATACAGTGACTACCAGTAACATTTATACAAATTTAGGAGCAATAATTATTCCGACACTTTGAGCTGATCGTGTTTTGCTGAAGTGTTTTTTCTTTAATTGCTAATGCTCTTTTTACACACAGACTGAACAACATGAAGCATTGCTTGGTAATCGGTTGAGCTAAACTGGTATTATCTAATTGTGTAGTTAAATTTAACAGCTGACAGATATTCAACATAATTCATCTGTGAGAGTCTAACAGAAGGACGGACAAAACCACTGACATATCAACTGATCTGATAACTCTGAGTTCTGCTCATATTTCATTATCATTTTCTAAACTATAGCAAATAAACTGTGTGAGAAATGTTGAAGGTGTCTGAATAAGCTTTGGTTTGACTGGTAATTTCTAAACTGGTTCTCTCACAGCAAACATACCTGGAGTTTTACTGCAGCTCTGGTGATAGCGCTGCAGTTCGAGATCCGCCAGCTCACTGAGCAGCTCCATGCCGTGACAGGACGAGTTCAGCGGGACGCAGGATCCCGGGGATTGGTAGGAGACGGGAGGAGAGGGAGGAGGACAGTCTCCACAGAAAGCTGCCGCAATCAGGAGCTCCAGACTCCAGTAACTCGACGTGGGACTCTGGGAGCAAGTTGGAGACTCAACCGTGGCACAGATTTCCTTGTGATCCTCCTCATCAACCACAGCAACCTCTGCTTGGACGATGGCGTTTGGTGAACAATCAGAGACGCATGGTTGTTGTGGTAATGGTTCCGGTTCCTTTAGTGTCTCTAGACTGGAAGACTGAAGAATATCTTCACCCACTCCTTCCTCAAAGGTAACAGTTGGCTCCTCTTGATGGATTTCCTCCTCAGATAACAGGGTAGGTCCTACTTCACAGTCTGAAGCTTCAACAGGTGTGCAAATGATCTCGACGCGCTCCTTTTCCTGATTAGCCTGTACGGGTTCACAGCATCTCGTCTCCACATCGTCCCCTTGCTCAAACACACCCTCGGGCTGGTCCTCGGCCGGGCGTGTGGCGTCGACCTGCATCGTTGGCTCTTGGAGAGGCCTCACCATTGCTTGGCAGTCTAGGCCCTCTCCCAAGCTGGAAAGAGCTGGAGGAGTGTGTTCAACGGGTCGGGTCTGAACGTCCTCGAGATCCGCGGGCTCTGCGAGCTGTACATCTTGAGCGCTGGGGCCGTTCCTGTATCCCATGGTGATTTCTGGATAGGTATATCCAGGTGGCAAATCTGTGACAGGGAACATAAATGAAGCTCAGATGCGTCAAGAACAAAGCCTTTAAAAATATCAGCGCAAAAACTTGTTTTACACTTTTGACAACCTGTTTAATCTTCATCCTTCGGATTTTGTAACACATCTTTCCCTCGCGGGTCAAAATGACACTTTTTTTTTTGTCCAGAAAGCTTATTTTATATCATTTTGATAATATTTTTCTATATTTTATAAAGCATTTTTTTTTACCTTTAATTTACTCGATTTGATCAATAAATAATACATAGTAATTTAAGCACATTCAACTTGAATTCAAAATATCTCATACAATTTCATGCATAACCCTTTTAATTCAGCTCATAATATCTTACATTGGGAGTCTTTCCCGACGTCTCGTGGAAAAATAATAATACAACATGATATTTCATGACTCAAGATGGCCTTATATCTCTATATGGAGCAAATGAGCTGTTCCTCTGGGTCCTAAAGTCAGTTCGCTTCAGATGCATTCAGATACACATGTAGACATTATAAAATAAAATATATTTTTTGGTAAAGTTTTAGCATTTTTAGTTTGATTTTTGAGCATTTTTAGGTTTTTCTATGTGTCCTGAAGCATTTCTCGCATCCCATTCATTCCTAAGGGGGTCAAATTGACCCGCGAGCGAAGGATTTGTTACTTTTTTACATTTCAACCACAAAACTCCTCGAATCCTTTAAAAATGTTTTGTTGTGTATTCGTGGTTCAAGTGCGACAAAAGTCCAAGGCTCTTGTCCCCATTGATGAACACTCAATTTTTTTTTATTTTTTTTTCAGTTTTTACTGGTTTGTTTTACAATTTTGACAACCTTATAAGGATGACTTGTTTGTTTAACAAGCTTTGCGCCAGAGGTCTGAACAAAAACGCATTGTATTCCACATGACAGTGCCACTCTGCCTTGATCTTAGCTCTTTGTTAAGAAGTGCAGCTGTTAAAGGGGTAATTCTGAGGTAAAGCAGGGCTCTCTCTCTGACACGGCGAGATCCTTGGCATGCTGCGGCAGTGAGGTGTTAATGATGATCAAGAAGGTGTAGGCTGGGGGATGGGGTGAGTCTGGACGAGGTGTTTCTCCATCTTTACTGATGTGATGGCGCTGGCGGACATTTTCTGCATTTATCAGCAGCTTTAGTCAATCGTGCTCTTGCCTATATAGCCGCCCACACAGAGCCACAGAGTCTAAAAAAAGCCCTGATTGTTTCTGCATGAGGGGCTCAGCATGAATAACAACCAACATGTGGCTCGTATGTTTTTGAGGCATGATGACTTGAAGCAGGACGACGCTAAATACAGGTGTAAACTGAGGTCTGAAGCGTTTTGAGCTTGTCCACTTTCAGCCACTTCCGGAGGGAGTTGAAAACACATTCGACCGGATTGCTTTCGTAGTGTAAACGCTCATGTGATCGAATGTGTTCAAAGATCGTCTTCTCTCCGTCTACTGACCTCATGAGTGAACATCATGAGAAGAGCTCTAGCCAGACGGGGTTAAACTTTGACAGATGAAGACCCAAGTTTGTTTTGAAGATGAAAACATACCAAACACAATGTTCTCTCACCATTCCTGATTTCTAACACACACTCACAAAGTTCGACTGGTCTCGAGTCTGTCAGAGCAGAAACTGAAGCTGATGCTCTCCGTGTGTTATTTCGTCATCTCTGGACGCGTTCATATGTAAATTGCGCAAGTTTATTTTGTCCATTAGATCAAAGATCTGAAAAAAAAAAATACATTTACCCGCCCATAGACCCTCCCCTCGACGAAATCAGGCAGAAGTGTTTGAAAGTGGACAGAAGAGACGGATTAAAACACCAAGTGTGAACGGGAATGTTTCCCTCGTCCACTTGTGATCCGATCCACCAAAACGCATCTTAACACCAGGTGTAGACAGAGCTTTAGCTTCAAAACAGCGACAGAAGACACACAAGACTGTTACAAGTCATTATCACACGGCTCTGTGGAATACTTGATTCTGATTGGTCAATAGTGCCATCCAGCGATATGTTATTCCCTGATAACGACCTCTGAAAACAGAAACACAGGCTCATCCGGGTCGCCTGCTAGGAACGGTAATTCTTCGTGAAAGATTTGCTGTTTGTGAGCTAATAAAATATTAAAAATCAATATTTTGTGTACAGTTATTTAATTATGCCATCCAGTATCGTGGATTCACTCTCTCTTGTTTCACACAAACGCAGCGGCGGCCATTTTGTGACTATTGTTTTGTACACTGTTGGATTATAGGATAACTCACAGGTACGATTTTAAAACAGTTTAATCTGAAATCAATATCTCTTATCCCCATAATTATTTATGTGGTGAAATCCTGTGTGATTATAAGTGGTGTGACTGTATACCGTATCTCTTAAATGTCCGTCTAGTTTGAACGGCACAATATTTGGTGTCGAATTATTTACTTATGTGGCAAATAAGCGGGAATGATGTACATCCAGCCGGTTGTTATCTCAGAATAAACCCCTTCAGGGGCGGATGAAGACCTGATCCTGATCACCCTGTCGGGGGTTATTCTGAGATAACAACCGGCCGGATGGACATCATCCCGCTTATACACACAAGTAAAAGCATTGCATTTTATAGAGTCTTATATTACTATGTAAGGAAGCATATCTGCTCACCAGGCTCCATGGACTGAGGATAGTCCTGGGGCGGCTGGCCTTCCACCCTCTTCTCCTGGGACTCCACAGCTTTGGGCAGCTGTGATGGGGAAGGGCTGATGGCCGGGGAGCGCGGCGTCACAGCGACCGGACTCGGGGCGGGACAGGGAGTAGAGGGGGTGCTTTTAGGGTGAGGTCGCATACAAGGGGACCGGCAGCAAGGGGACAGGTGTGCAGTGGATCCCCTGGGAGGAGACGAGGCCCGGTTGGACGGGCCGTAGGAATAGCATTTAGCAGGTTTGGGAGTCCTTGGATCTGATAGGATGTCTTCTAGATCCATGCTCTGCTCTTCTGGTTTCTTTTGCACCTATGCATTAAAGAAGTCAAGTCACATTTATTTATATAGCGCTCTTTACACTACAGAGTGTTTCAAAGCAGCTTTACAGAGATAACAGGAAAATAAATGCAACTAAGTTTGTTTCCAGAAGAAAAGGAATGACGGAAAGTCAGAAAGGAAAGAGAATTCAAGCCTCGTAATGAGATCTGGACAATTTGGTTAATTAAAGGAAACTGACATATATTCTCAAGACTGCCAGGTCATGCAATCTACACATCAATGTAATTGCAATTTGACACCCCTGTATTGCTGAATCAGGTTTCAATCTAGACCCTAATGGCTCAGATCTATTGATTTTGACCTGCAATTAAAAAGAGTAGTGCTTGGTCCGATCACGCCACAGTTCATGGCAGACTGCATTTAGTTGTGTATGTGTAGAATGAAACTGGTTCTTGGAGGAAGTTATGGATCCTAGGGAGCAGTTGTGGGATTTTTTTAAAATAAAACTCATGATTTATTGGCTCCAAATGTTGTTTACTCCCCTGCACACAAAAACAACTGTGTAGTTTCATGGAAAAGAGCACATCCTCTCTCAGTATCAGGTGTCAAACATTAGCTCATTTGAAAGCCCAGCTGTTTCTAAACCACTGCATTTTGTACAGTCTGATATAAAACGGCTATTTGGGAATCAAAACTTGACGTCAGGAATCGGATACTTGTTATAACATTTTAATTTCGATTTCTCTTATCGATTCCTTTGTGAGCATTTCGATATGACTTTAAACAAGGCGACTCTATAAGTGTATTGGGCAACTCTTAAAGTGACAGGCGCAGCCGTCTATAATAACACTATTCAAACAACAAAAGACAAAGAGAAAATTCACTCGTTCTTGACTGAATAACTTTTGTAACTACATTTGTAATGTGAATTTTATTTATAAAGTGCAGTGTTATTTTACATTTGATTGCAGTTTCTGTGCCTGAATACCTGAAAATCTTACAACACTGATTATTTCAATCGTATCTTTGTTCAATTTGTTGCTATTGCTATTTTTTTATTTGTTCTTTTTTAATTACTGAGTGTTTACTTGTCTTTAATAATGCTTGACATGTATACTGTATTAGTTAGGCTAATTGTTTTTCTATAGTACTTTTAAACCACAGGCACACGCTCCTTGTGTAAGTGTTCTTCTGCCTGTTGATTTTTGTTCATGATATTCAGCTGCAATTAAATGTTTTGGAATAAGACTAAATGTGAACAATATCTAAGGTTTGTTTTTAACCTTATTGGAATCTAAATTATTAGGAATCGATAAGAATCGATAACCAGAATTGAAATTGGAATCGTTAAAGGTGCAGTGTGTAATGTTTAGCGGCATCTAGTGGTGAGGTTGTGAAATGCACCCAACAGAAGTTACGGTGGGTGACAGGAAGTGATGTCGAGACAGCAGAGAGTAGCCAGTTAAGCAATGAGGTTTCTTTACAATGATGAATTAAGAAATTAGGTTTACTTTATTATTCAGTAAAACGATATGTTATTGTGAATATTATTGTCACCTGTTCATCATTGTGTCAGTGTTTTATTCACTGACTTTAACTCGCTTCTTTGCACGAAGAACAACATAGTGACGAAACGCATTTGTCCATTTAGGGCCACTGTAGAAACATGTCGATATAAGGAGACCCGCGGTGTGTGTAGACAGAAATGGCTCATAAGGTAATAAAAACATGACGGTTCATTATGTAAGGTCTTTATACACCACTGGAAACATAGTTATGAAAGTGATATTGTATTTCTGGCAACAGATCCTCCTAAATATTACACAATGCACCTTTAAAATTCAATATGATACCCAACCCTAGCTATACGAGGGGTTGTGTGAGGAGCTATACGACTCTGGCTCTCTAATTAAATGTTTTGCAATAAGACTAAATGTGAATGATATACGTTTTTTGTTTAACCTTATTGGAATTGAAATTAGGAATCGATAAGCAGAATCGAAATTGGAATCATAATAGTTCAAATTCAAACGATCCCCAACCCTAGCTCTACGAGGGGTTGTGTGTGTGTGTACCTGGCTGTGGTCGACTCTGGCTCTCTGCTGTAGCTCTGTGGTGTTTGCAGCTCTGTGTGATGGAGGTGGTGGCGTGTGATGGCTCGGGTGTTGCTGATGCTGAAGCTGCTGGTGTTGTTGGAGAGCGTAAAGCTCCTGTTGGCGTAGAAACTGCGAGCGAGGATACACAGCGGGATGCTGCATGTGGGAATGGGCCCCTCGGGCCCTGTAGACTGGGGGCCACAGGCCAGACTGCTCCATCACATCTAAGCAGAGAAACACAAGTGTTAGTCTTATCATGTGGAAGGCCATGTTAGAGATCAGGGGGAGTGTTACAGAAACTTTCTATCTTAAGTTCTTCATTCGTATTAGAGAAGCAAATCTTAAGTTGATTTAGGATTCTTATCCTATCTTATAAAACCTCATCTTATCTGTAGTTAGGAAATCTTAAACCCCTCCATCAACTCTCAGGTCTGTTACCAAGCAACCAACAACACGCAAACAGCTGCTGTGAAGTAAAATGGAAAAAACTCAAGAGATTAAAATGAAGAAACAAAGTGGTGGTTTTCATTAAGTGAAGTTTTGATAAGCTTGGTAGAAAGGGCAAAGCCTAATCCTTTTAATTTCATATTAGTCTGTAATTATTTGTCAGAGTTTTGTCGTCAAAGTGCAGCACATCATTTGGGTGTTCACAAAGTCTTTCCCCCTTCAAACATCGCTGTTCTTCATCTTGTATCATTAAATAAATGTGACGTCATTCTCAGACAGGGCTATTATTATGTGATTTTTATAGTTGGCTTTTAAATACTTGGGGTTGGACACCATTAGGGTTGTCCTAAAGTTAAGGATTTTTTTTGTGGAGTTAAGATGCTTCTGTAATACCCTTTTCCTATCTGTAGTTGAGATAAGATTTTGCACTTAAGAAAGGTAATTTTGTAAAAAAAAAAAAAAAAACCTAAATGAGGTCCTAACTGAAATTGCCATGGTTACCAAACAGAGAAGATAGGATTATTAAAGTTAGGATCTTTCTGTAATGCGCCCCCAGAATGTTAATATATGGGTCTCACTTAGTTTTTAAACGGGTACAGGATAGTTTTAATAGTATTTCAAGAAGCTTTTAATGATTTAAATCTAGTCTTGAATAGCACAAAAACAAAAGGTAATGTGGTTTGGAAAGAACCATCTGTTTAATAAAGATATTACATCCTTGGATGGAGCAAAACTTGGTGTGGTATCTTCATACAAATGACTGCTCCATCAAATCTAATCAGAGAAACACAAGTGTTTGCCTCGCACACTGAGTCTGAAATTTTCGTATTAATGTTAATATATGGGTCTCACTTAGAGATCATGCAATTAACCAGCCATCCAACCAACCAACCAATTAACCAGCCAACCAGCCATCCAACCAACCAATTAACCAGCCAACCAGCCATCCAACCAACCAACCAATTAACCAGCCATCCAACCAACCAACCAATTAACCAGCCATCCAACCAACCAACCAATTAACCAGCCAACCAGCCATCCAACCAACCAATTAACCAGCCAACCAGCCATCCAACCAACCAACCAACCAATTAACCAGCCATCCAACCAACCAACCAAGTAACCAGCCATCCAACCAACCAACCAATTAACCAGCCATCCAACCAACCAATTAACCAGCCATCCAACCAACCAACCAGCCATCATACCAATTAACCAGCCAACCAGCCATCCAACCAACCAACCAATTAACCAGCCAACCAGCCATCCAACCAACCAATTAACCAGCCAACCAGCCATCCAACCAACCAACCAATTAACCAGCCATCCAACCAACCAACCAATTAACCAGCCATCCAACCAACCAACCAATTAACCAGCCAACCAGCCATCCAACCAACCAATTAACCAGCCAACCAGCCATCCAACCAACCAACCAACCAATTAACCAGCCATCCAACCAACCAACCAAGTAACCAGCCATCCAACCAACCAACCAACCAGCCATCCAACCAACCAATTAACCAGCCATCCAACCAACCAACCAATTAACCAGCCATCCAACCAACCAACCAACCAGCCATCCAACCAACCAATTAACCAGCCATCCAACCAACCAACCAATTAACCAGCCAACCAGCCATCATACCAATTAACCAGCCATCCAACCAACCAACCAATTAACCAGCCAACCAGCCAGCCAACCAACCAACACACCAATTAACCAGCCATCCAACCAACCAACCAAACAACCAATTAACCAGCCAACCAGCCATCCAACCAACCAACCAATTAACCAGCCAACCAGCTATCCAACCAACCAATTAACCAGCCAGCCATCCAACCAACCAACCAACCAACCAACCAATTAACCAGCCATCCAACCAACCAACCAACCAACCAACCAACCAATTAACCAGCCATCCAACCAACCAACCAATTAACCAGCCATCCAACCAACCAACCAATTAACCAGCCATCCAACCAACCAACCAATTAACCAGCCATCCAACCAACCAACCAACCAACCAACCAATTAACCAGCCATCCAACCAACCAACCAATTAACCAGCCATCCAACCAACCAACCAATTAACCAGCCAGCCAACCAACCAACCAACCAACCAATTAACCAGCCATCCAACCAACCAACCAACCAATTAACCAGCCATCCAACCAACCAACCAACCAACCAATTAACCAGCCATCCAACCAACCAACCAATTAACCAGCCATCCAACCAACCAACCAATTAACCAGCCAGCCAACCAACCAACCAACCAATTAACCAGCCAGCCAACCAACCAACCAATTAACCAGCCATCCAACCAACCAACCAATTAACCAGCCATCCAACCAACCAACCAATTAACCAGCCATCCAACCAACCAACCAATTAACCAGCCATCCAACCAACCAACCAACCAACCAACCAACCAATTAACCAGCCATCCAACCAACCAACCAATTAACCAGCCATCCAACCAACCAACCAATTAACCAGCCATCCAACCAACCAACCAACCAACCAACCAACCAACCAACCAACCAATTAACCAGCCATCCAACCAACCAACCAACCAATTAACCAGCCATCCAACCAACCAACCAATTAACCAGCCAACCATCCATCCAACCAACCAACCAATTAACCAGCCAACCAGCCATCCAAACAACCAACCAATTAACCAGCCAACAAACGAAAAAAATCACAAGATATTTTTTGAAGATTGTTACATTTTTTAAATAATGTTGATTACTAAACAGTTTTGGTTACCATTGACTTCCACTGTATGAAAAAAAAAAACATTTTTCAAAATATCTTATGTTCCACGAAAGAGAGAAATTCATACAGGTTTGGAACAAACATGAGGGTGAGTAAATGATGCCAGAATTTTTTGGGTGAATTATCGCTTCATTTATATTTCAAAAATTCAATGTCAGTCCAAGTATTTAAACTAACTTAAATAAATAAATAAATAAATAAAAGTAACTCTGAGTTCCAGAGAGACCCGTCAACCAGCAATCCCACGCTCTTTTTGGAGTCTTGCTCCCTGTTCACCACTTTCGTTTTCTCACACTTAACTGCATTCCTCCCTCAATTTTTCTCACACTAGATGTCTCCAACCCAAATGTGCAGCCTTGCGAGCACAGCATGATATATGCTTACACCAATAAAAATTTGGTTAAAATTAAAGTCAACATAATGGAAGCAGTTCCCATTAGAATAAATATTACACAATCATTTGACAAACTATATTCACTCCCTTTCCCTTGAAAAATCCCCTTCCCTGAAAACCACAATGGGCCAATACTCTAACATGTAGTCTAGGCGACTTCTTAGTTCCCATGTCATGGATAAACTCCTGCCATTCCCCTGGCAGGAACAAAAAAAAAAGAAAGCCATCCGTGCACATCCACAGTGACACATCTTCAGCCTCCGGAAGTCAAATATGTTTTTCTACTTTTCCCATTTCACATAGTTTCATTAATGTGCATGTTCAGCTTGATCCCTCTCTCACCCACCCCTGTCCTTGCCTTGACACGTCTCGGACCTTTGCTCTGGGACATTAACCCAGCTTAACTAATGTTTCCCGGGGGAAGGCTTTTGTGGATGCACTTCCCCTTTGAGCTGATATTTCTGTGGAGAACAGAAGGAAAGTGTGCCTTCTAAGGGGCTGTTTACACCACACCGTTTTTTAACAAAAAAAGTATGCGTTTTGGCCGTTCGTTTACATGACAACGGTGAAAAGAGTGCCTGGAAACGCAAACTTTTGAAAACTGTTTCAAAGTGTATGTTTTTGAAAACGATCTCCATGTAAACAGCAAAAACGTGAATCTCTGCATATCTCACATGCGTATTACGTGTTCAGTCTATAGGGTTTCATCGCCATCTACTGGGCTGGAGCAGAATTCAGGGTTTTTAGCCGTTTTCGCGGATCCATGTAAATGGGGATCGTTTTGACAATGGTGTTGTCTGTACGCGGCAAACTCAAAGGAAAAATGTCTCTGCTTTAAGCACATCGTTGACGTGTAAACGTACCCTCAGACATTAAAATAATTCGATTTCACAGCCTGTTTGCGGAGCAGAGGCCTGTGTAGACTTAAAAGACTTATGTTACTTCAGCTTATTTTGAGCACATATGGCAATAGCTTTGAGGGGGATGGTGAGAGCATCCCGACCCGGACCATGTGGGAGTGGAGCAGGTGGTCGACCGGAAACTGTTTGTGCGATTCAGTGCATCACTTGCACGCTTTCGCTCTTCTTAGCAATCTCATAGGCCGTTATTCATAGCAGCTCTTTATCTTTATCTTAAAAAAGATATGGACATTTTAATATCCCAGGTAAAGATCTCAGTTCTTTACTACTCTGTAAAAAATCACATCCGTATCATCTAGTTTACAGGACTTTTTTGAGTCACAAATACACTAAGATGTTTAAAGAAACAGAATTCTCCAAAATGTTGTTCCAACTAGTCAGTTGTCAGTTGTCTGGAGAAAAGTCGCCTAGACTTTAAAGACCCACTGAAGTGCCTTTGTTTGATGCGTTGACATTATTTCCACTGAAACAGGAAACTGAGGCGGGACATATTGAATGGCTCCTCCCACTTTTCAAACAGCCAATAGCGTTTAGTTTCCCTCTCAGACTGCAGTCGTACTTGACGGCACCATGGAAGCGAATCCGAGCGCTGATGATAAGCTGGATTCAACAGTAGAAGTGAATAAAGTCTAGCCATTTCATTCTTAACCAACTTAACCGAGTAAAACTCGAGCGTTTGAGCAACCGAACACACACTCCAACCCATATTGCTCTGTGTGTCAACGCTCGCTTCGGCCAGGGGGTGTTTATAGCAGAGGGAGCGGAGCTTCAGATTCTAGAGAGCATTTGATTGGAGAGAAGATGTGATGAGAAGCTGAAGTCATAAAAATCCCTGATCCATTTTAGCGGAAGTGAGAGACTAAGTTTTGAATGCTTATTTCTCCTAAATGCAAATTTTGTCACTCTTTTGGAGCACACCAGCTTATTAACAACCTTAAGGCTAACATATTCATACTAAAAGCTAAAAAACTTGAATTTTGATTTCAGGGGGCCTTTAAACAAGTCAATGTCTGCCTGTGACTAGTCAAAGCATGTTTTAGAAGTGTGCACACTGCAAGAGCGTCAGTGATAAGCTTGAGTCGTGTAGTATGCACTAGGTATAAGTAAACACTTGAAATGGACATATAACCTTGAAACCTGAGTGGAAACACTGTTATAGAGCATAATTTTTCAGGCTCGGCAACCTGACAGTAAAATCTTCAGGAGGGAACCCATGAGAGCCTCACAAAAAGAATCAATGCTAAATCTGACAAATGGGTCATTCGCAGCAGGTCAAATAAATTGAGCATATGGAGGGGAAGGAGAATACACTGCAAAAATAGTATTTTTGTCTTGTTTCCAGTCCAAATATCAAAAAACTCATAAATCAAGATGCATTTACTAGATGAGTAAAATGACATAAGATTTTATGTCTTGTTTTCCGGGGGAATTAATCCAAATTAAGTACGTTTTTGTTTAAAAAGAGCAAAATGATCTGCCAATGGGGTAAGAAAAATAATCTTAATTCAAACAGAAACAAGATTATTTTTCTTACCCCATTGGCAGATCATTTAAAACTCACTTAATTTGTATTTATTTCCCCTAGAAAACAAGACTTAATATCTTATGGCATTTTACTACTTAAGTAAATGCATCTTGATTTAAGATATTTGGACTGGAAACAAGACAAAAATACTAAGTAAGAAAAGCATTTTTTGCAGTGAGGTAGAAAACATGGTACGTACCGAGATGTGAGGCTGGGTGTGTGGCAGGCTCACTGGGCAGCACCACCAGTTGGGCAGAGGGGTCCTGGGGCAGGGGCAGGACTGGCTGAAGAGGGGCAGGCATGGCCGCCGAAAACCCAGGGGGGAGATTCTGATGGAGAGCTGTGTGGCCAATACCTACAGAAACACAAGACAACTTTAAGGATACAACAAAAGCCCTGTTCGGACGGCAACTGTTTCTCATGTGGACGTCTGTAAAAAAAAAAACGTTTGCATGGCACCTCAGTGCTAAACTCAGGCCATTTATTGACGGTGGAGGAGCGAGTTTTGTAATCCCACAAACGTGGTCTTTTGGATGATTGTTTGCTGTAAATAAAATGTCATATGGAATAATACGCATAAATTCGTATTTAATTTAATAATAGGAAAATAATGTTCTATTTATTATTTCATTATTTAAATCTCATTTTTAAAAATAGGAAGCTAGATGCGAGTATGCACTATATTTGAAATCTTGCATTTTATCTCAAAAGGATGTTATTTTAAATAAATATGGAAATTAGTGGAAACAAGTTAATGCAGCCTCTTATTTGCATGAGGTAAAAATAAAGCTGCTTAGTTTGTATTTTTAATGGTGTGTATAATAGCAATAAAATGTTATCATATATTGCTGCCACAATAACACCCCTATTTCAAATGTTTACATGTTTTTTACCTCTTTCTCCTTTTTGTTCGCTGAGGTGGAGCCGTGTGGAAATATTGTTCTTGTAAATACTTTCCAGCATTTCAGTAATAAAAGTATACATTTTATAATGCATGCAAATTACAATGAAACAGTTATTATACAGTGCTCGGCAGTGATCAAAAAGGATTTAAACCGTGAATTTTGAAGTGATCTGTTTTAGTAAACTCAGAGATGTGGATTCGGACGGCAATTAATTCACCAACTGAACTTGGTGTTTGGCAAAAACAGTAGGTCATTTGGCCAGGGATTATTACGCAGGTGGAGGGAGAAAAACACTGACATTCTGGATTCAAACGGCCATAAAATCACAGACTAATCCTGTAAATGTTGAAAATACCTTACGACCCCATGAGAAACAATTACAGTCCGAATAGGGCTAAAGTTGATTTGTTTTGTTTTTTTGTTTTAAACATAAAAGTATGTCAAATATATCAGTAAAGCAGAAATAAACAGTGCAAAATAAGGGGAAAAGTATGTATTTTCCCCATTTCAACGCTCTCATTCTATTCTCAACATTACTGACCATAGGAGTGACTAACTTAACTTACTTAAGCTGGACTGTGACGCTATTTTCTTCTAGAAACAAACTTTGTTGTATTACTTTCCTGTTATCACTGTAAAGCTGCTTTGAAATCTGTATTGTAAAAAGCGCAATGAACGTAACTTGCCTTGACTTGAATTAGAGCACCAGATAAAGCAAAATAAGTGAAAAAGACGACTAAAATGTATTTTTCCCACTTCATTGTGTTCTCAACATTACTGACCATAGGAGTGACCGGTCATCCAGAGGGAGGGACTGCCTGTGCGTGGCATCCAGTGGTGGTGCGCAGAGTGTGTGTGAGCAGCCGGGTCTCCTAATTGGCTTGACTGCATTGAAGTGCCACCTGGCACCATGATATGAGAAGTGAGGTCCCCATGGCAACTGTTAGAGGGATGGATGTGTGCAAATTCCACTCTTTCCTTGTTATCCCTGCAAAGCCAGATTGGAGACAGGTAAAAGGTCAGGGGTTGAGCAAATGTGACAAGTGACAAAAGAAGTGTGTTTGGGGGGGGGGGGGGGGTTGGATCATTCACCTGATAAACACGTCTCGTTCTCTCTCTAGGCACCGGTGGCCCATGTGCTCTACACTTGTCCTTTTCCTCTCCTCCTCTCCTGGTGAATCTGAAGGATACATGGAGCGTGGAGTGCCTACAAAATGGTTAATACATTGACATCAATGGCTACGTTTACATGCACAGCTTTTGTTTCAATCGGACTGAATTCATTCCTATTGATGAATCTGAATGTAGTGTTTACATGAACATTAAACATGTAATCGGGTTGATGTGCGCATTTTTATGTGTCACAAGCTTCAAATCGGAATAGATATTTTACATGCACACACTGCAAGAATATACAGAGTTTCCCGTTGTTTGCATTGCATTACATTGGTTCTTTATTTGTTTTAAACAGCAGACTTAATATTTATCCATTTCTGGTCATAATTTGGAGACAATGAGTATATGAATAGTTGTGCCTTGCTGCTTATATTTATCACGCAGTAAAAATGCCCAGTCATCTGTGGATGAGAATCCAAAAAAAGGACTGGTGGGACGTTGTCCTGCTTCAGGATACCTACGCTATTTCAACGTCACTGCCCATGCGCAGTCCTTTCAGTTTCGGTTTTAAATCCGATCAAGCATTTACATGTTCTCTCGATCGGATTAGAAAAGGAATAAACCACCCCTTTCAATTGGATCGAAATTTCATTCAGGACGAGCTCAATCGGATCGATAAAGGTGTTTACATGAAGGCTTTTCAGTCCGATTGAGCCGTCAATCTGATTACTAACAGATTATTTGGTTGCATGTAAACGTAGCCAGTGATTTTCTCTCATCTGCAACTCTCACTGTCATTGGCTCTCTTGCATGCAAACAGCTGTCGAGCAGCCTTTCTCTACAGTGGCATGTGTGCTCTCTCTCTTTCAGGAGTAAGAGAGGGAAAAGCTGTTTCCACTTTGGGTCTTGGCGAGTTCTGCTATTTATTTTTAATCAGTGAAGTCTTCCAGAGATCATGAATAAACAAACTGCTCTGTTTCCCTGCCTGCTGTTTGTTTAGGAAGACCCTGACAGATCAAGAAAGGTCAAGCTTACCTTTCATGGTGGAGTGGACCCGCCCCTGTCGAGCGCTGGGATGGGTGCCCGATGCTTGGCATGGGGGGTCTCTCTGTCTTGCAACAGCAACTGCAATCCCAACCGGAGGCTGTCGCACCTCGCCCTCAACATGTGGGGCTTCTCCTATCTCTCGCCCACGTCCTCCGCAATCAGCTCGCTCGTTTTCATGGCTTTGGGCTTTCCTCGAGGGTAGGGTCTGCTTGCCTCCTTGAAGAGAGCAACTGGTGCCATTTGGCCCAGTTTTGAGGCTCCCGAGCCCTCCAAACGGGCTCTTCTGGGACAGCAGGAGAGGCTGCTGGTTGCTGTACTTCAGAAGGTTCTTCATAGCACTAGTCTCTCCCTGTGAGCTTGCGACCTCCTGCTGGTTTTGAGGAGGAGCTGGATGAACGGGCGGAGGAGGAGGGGGGCCCATTCCTGCTGTCTGGTGCTGCTGTTGTGTAGGCGGTCTGTTGTTGGTAGCTCCACTGTTAGGCTCCATGTACGCTTTGTGCTGGTTCTCTTCAGAGTGGATGTGATGAGGTTGCATGTCCCAATGCAGCACTGATGGTTGCTGATGTGGGTGATGGTGTGAACTGTTGTTGTAGCCGTAAGGTATTTCCATTTTCTGCTTCATCTCCTGGTTTCCATTAGCCTGGGCCATGTCAGTGCCAGGGGTATCCGGACCAGCCCTATTGTGCTGTTGGTGACGAATGCGGGCAACTTTTTGTCCATCTCGATGCATGGAGCAGCTTCCATGTCCTCCTCCACCACCCATGTGCTGGGCCATGTTCTTCCCAGCAAGAGGTGAGGGAATGGTTGGAGGCCCCGAGTGTGAGCAATCCCTGTAGGGCTGGGAACTGGTGTTGGATTGATTGGGTAAAGGATGGACAGCCTTTGTCTCTTGAGTCAGTGCCGATCTGTAGATGTCCGTTTCCATACTGTTGATGCAGTCAGCACTGCGGGAGCGCACAGTCTGGTGTTGCTGGGAATGGCTCTGCTGTTGTTGTTGTTGTTGCTGTTGCTGCTGCTGTAGATGATGGTGGTGGTTGTGGTTATGCATCCAGTCAGGGGCTTTTTCAGCTTTTCTGTAAGAATGCTGTTGCTGGGTTGGAGGTTGTTGCTGTTGCTGTTGTTTCCTCGGCCAGTTACCATGATGCCCCCCATTGCCAGCCTTTTCCATTGCCTTGTCCTTGACACCGTTCCCTCCGCCGCCAACCCCCTGGCACTCAGAGCCGCCCATCTGGAAGGGGCCTCCGGTTTTCTCCCCGAGGTGGCTAACAGATGGTACAAACGTGGCTCCAGTCACTTTGGGGTCTCTGCAACCACCACTATTGATCCCTTTATCATGTAAGGAAGTATTTCCCATGGGGGCTGGCGGTGGAGGGCAGAAAAAGTCAGGGTGATGGTGTGAGTGGCGGTTGTGGTGTGCATGATGGGGGTGGCCAGGATGGAGCTGTAGACAATGGAAACCACCAGGATGCCCCCCTCCAGCAGCTGAAGCCATGGGTAGCGGAGGAGGCACTGAGTAGGACAAAGAATGGTGCAGTGTTTGACCTCGCTCAAGACAGTCCGTGGGAGTCTGTTCACTGATCCGCATCTCCCCACTTATTGCCTCTTTACCACAGCGGCCGTTAGTGCCACCACCCAAATGTCTGTTTTGGACATTATTGGACCCTACATTACCTCTACCCACCCCATCCCCAATGCAAGAAGTCATGGAGCCCTTTGCCCCAGTCCCATGGTCCCCATTTTGCATCTTTCCATTGAGCAGACAGGCACTAAGAGGCTTTCCCATGCTTTGTGGATGCTCCTTGTACTCCATAGGTAGAGTGGCTTTGTGTCCCCTGGCATTCATCTCTTCCATAGTGACTGGATGTTGTGGGTGGAGCTGGGGTTGATGGGAGTGATGATGGGGTAGTTGGTGGTGATGGCGGTCTTTAGAATCATGTTTACTACTAGACCTGTCTTTATCCTTTGCAGCTGAAACCACACCTCTGTCTAAGCTAGGATCTTTAAGGCCCTTGTGTAGGATCACCCCACTCCCCGCATCCCTGTCCCTGCTGCAGGAGCCCTGGGGTTGTCCTGATCCTGCCCTTGACATTGGCTGGATGTTGTGATTGGCTGATATGAGTGGGGGCTGGGACGGGAGGCTTCGTAAATAGAAGTTCTCTGTGAAACAGATTGGATATGGCTGTTAATAATTTAAATTAGTCCTCTTAAGCTTTCCTTTAGGGTTAATTTATGGAACTATGTTGGAACTATCATATTTGGAGACTAAACAAAGAGAAGTTTGAGTTGCAGAAAGGTAGGATGGAAAGGTAGAAGTAGAAAGGTTTTATGTAATTGTTTTAAAAAATTACTTTTGCCCACCTTTTTGTGTATCATAAAAACGGTGCTGTCCATAGAGGACCCCGCTGTTGGCATGGTGATCCAAATGGCTTATGGGAAGAAAGGTGTGGGCTAGACTCCCTGAGAAGCGAGGATACCCTGGGACTGCTGTAGGGAAAGAAAAAAATAGGGTGTGAACATCAGTGGAAAGGTCCAGAGATAAAATGAGAGAAATAAAGGCTGAGAGAATTGTAGACATAGCAAAAGAAGAAGTGAAAGTAAGAGAGTGAGAGTGATATGGAGAGAGAGCAATAAGGGAAGGAAATCTCTGATAACAAGACAATCATCACTGAGCCACATTTCTTTTTGGCCGTAAGCATTTTGGTCCAGATCTAATCCCCCAGTTCCAATGCAGCTGGTGTTCCATATTCACCAATAACCACAGGCTTTGGATGTCATATTTGCCATTCCTATTTGGGTTTCCAATGCAAACAAGACGACGAGTTCTGTCTAGGGAAGTGAAGTAATGGATGAATTTTGTCTCCTGAACATATGGTTCACACTGTGCAAATCTCACCAAGTTCCCAGTGCTGAGTTAAGAGATAACACAGTAAAACAATAAGCAAAGAGTCCTCACAGCAGAACATGTGGAGATTTAAGAAAGAGGCCAAAGATCAACTTTACTTCAGCTGTCTCAACTCTCCAAAATCTGCCACTAGCATAACAAAGCCATGAGGACAGAATTTACAGGAAAACCAAATACCTTTTAAGCATAAGCCTTTGAAGCTTAGTAAAGGCAAGAAGACAACCCTGTAACCTTTAAATATATGATAAATGTTAGCCTTGTGACTTTCTAAGACAATTACAGTGCTCTGATTTATTATGACTTTTAAACTACTTATAATATGTATGAGTACATTACTGAGAAACAGAAAATATTTTCTTTTGCACCAAAAACAGTTAATCAGTTAACCTGCTGCAACCTTTTTTTCATTTGTGTTTATATCTGAACTATAAACTTTCATCCCAGTCCATCTGTGATAATTTGAATTATTGTAACAGAAATGATACTGTGTGGTTGAAATTACTGTTTAATATTTCAAAGGTTTGATGGATATAGCCGAATCGGTGTCTTTTAGGAGCAAGATCGCGTGGGTGTTTGAATTGAGATCGTGATCTTTTAAACATTAATCGTGCAGCTCTATCTTGCAGGTTTGGAACGATATGAGTAAACGATTACAGAATAAAAAAAAATTCGTGAACTATCCCTATTATACAATTCTGACTAAAGATTATAAAAACCCTTCCAATCATATGGAGGCTTGTTTTTCTTTAGACGCAAAGAGGAAGGTGATAATTGCAAGCTCGTTTTTTTATTCTCACTGCCCGTCAGCATTAATAAACAGACTCATTTATGCCAATTCATTTGAGAATGGAAAAAATAAGGCCCCCTTTAAACAATACATTTCTTCTGTGGGTTATGCAAAAGTGTGATACAAGCTTGCGTTATGCAAATCAGTCTTCAGCTGTTTCTGTGTTTTCTTTGTGTTTCTATGTGTGACACTTGGCAGCGTAATCCCGTTTCACAGTGACGTCTGGCTGGGCCCGATAGTGGCTGGTTGCCTCTCAGGGCACGTGAGCGGCACCGCTGGGCATTGCACTGCACATTCAGCCGTTAATCTGGGCAGGACAAGGGAAGGTGCTGTGCCAGCGGGCTAGACGAAGAAGGTTTTACTGCTTAGTGCTGACATTAATGCTGCTAACACTATTGCACTCACAGAAACGGCAGCTGTCTGAAGTGATTGACACCAGCTCACTCAGCACACGGAGAACTGTTATTATCTGAGCGAGATGCTACTGCAGCTCACTGTAGGATATTCACAGGCAAAACCTGACACTTTCCTCCAAATCAGCGAAAAAGAAGAGGCTCACTGCACATAAACAGCACACAAAGAACTTACCAGGACCATAATACATTTGGAAAACCATATCATTGGTTTTGCCATAGAACGGTGCCTTGAATTTATGACAGGTTCAGTCCCCTTGCAGCAACCTGAGATTAAATGCCTTGCTCACGGATCCAATGGTGGCCAAATGGTGATAGCTTAAGGCTGTTGACTTGAATTAAAGATGTCAAATTAAAAATGGAATCTGAGGAAGTAGAGAGTTATAAGATTGAATTTAGGCTTTTATTTACATATAAACGTCAGCATAAACATACACAGAAGCTCAACATACTTGTTTGATGCACGAGAACAATGATAATGAACCTCATTGGTTCTCGCTGAAGCTCAAACGTGCTGCGTAACACGAGAATGAACCTCATTGGTTCTTGCTGAAGCTCAAACGTGCTGCGTAACACGAGAATGAACCTCATTGGTTCTTGCTGAAGCTCAAACGTGCTGCGTAACACGAGAATGAACCTCATTGGTTTTGCTGAAGCTCAAACGTGCTGCGTAACATGAGAATGAACCTCATTGGTTCTCGCTGAAGCTCAAACGTGCTGCGTAACATGAGAATGAACCTCATTGGTTCTTGCTGAAGCTCAAACGTGCTGCGTAACATGAGAATGAACCTCATTGGTTCTCGCTGAAGCTCAAACGTGCTGCGTAACACGAGAATGAACCTCATTGGTTCTTGCTGAAGCTCAAACGTGCTGCGTAACATGAGAATGAACCTCATTGGTTCTCGCTGAAGCTCAAACGTGCTGCGTAACATGAGAATGAACCTCATTGGTTCTTGCTGAAGCTCAAACGTGCTGCGTAACATGAGAATGAACCTCATTGGTTCTTGCTGAAGCTCAAACGTGCTGCGTAACATGAGAATGAACCTCATTGGTTCTTGCTGAAGCTCAAACGTGCTGCGTAACACGAGAATGAACCTCATTGGTTCTCGCTGAAGCTCAAACGTGCTGCGTAACACGAGAATGAACCTCATTGGTTCTTGCAGAAGCTCAAACGTGCTGCGTAACACGAGAATGAACCTCATTGGTTCTCGCTGAAGCTCAAACGTGCTGCGTAACACGAGAATGAACCTCATTGGTTCTCGCTGAAGCTCAAACGTGCTGCGTAACACGAGAATGAACCTCATTGGTTCTTGCTGAAGCTCAAACGTGCTGCGTAACATGAGAATGAACCTCATTGGTTCTTGCTGAAGCTCAAACGTGCTGCGTAACACGAGAATGAACCTCATTGGTTCTCGCTGAAGCTCAAACGTGCTGCGTAACACGAGAATGAACCTCATTGGTTCTCGCTGAAGCTCAAACGTGCTGCGTAACATGAGAATGAACCTCATTGGTTCTTGCTGAAGCTCAAACGTGCTGCGTAACATGAGAATGAACCTCATTGGTTCTTGCTGAAGCTCAAACGTGCTGCGTAACACGAGAATGAACCTCATTGGTTCTTGCTGAAGCTCAAACGTGCTGCGTAACACGAGAATGAACCTCATTGGTTCTTGCAGAAGCTCAAACGTGCTGCGTAACACGAGAATGAACCTCATTGGTTCTCGCTGAAGCTCAAACGTGCTGCGTAACACGAGAATGAACCTCATTGGTTCTTGCTGAAGCTCAAACGTGCTGCGTAACACGAGAATGAACCTCATTGGTTCTTGCAGAAGCTCAAACGTGCTGCGTAACACGAGAATGAACCTCATTGGTTCTTGCAGAAGCTCAAACGTGCTGCGTAACATGAGAATGAACCTCATTGGTTCTTGCAGAAGCTCAAACGTGCTGCGTAACATGAGAATGAACCTCATTGGTTCTTGCTGAAGCTCAAACGTGCTGCGTAACATGAGAATGAACCTCATTGGTTCTTGCAGAAGCTCAAACGTGCTGCGTAACATGAGAATGAACCTCATTGGTTCTTGCTGAAGCTCAAACGTGATGCATAACAACATTGGTTCCTTTGATAAAAACCTAAATTCAATCTGTTCATCACATAAAGTGATCTTGTCTCTTCAGAAAACGTGGACTAAACCGCTCAATTCATATGGATTAATTGTATGATCCCTTTATGAACTTTTTGAAGCGACAAAGTGGTAGTTTGTCATTGGAGGGACGGAAATCTTTCAAATTTAATTACAAATATCTTCATTTGTGTTTAGAAGATTAACGAAAGTCTTAAAGTCTTGGAACAACATGATTGACAGAATTTTCATTTTTGGGTGAACAAACCATTTCATTATTTTGAGTGTTGAACTTTGTGATTGTGCTGAATTTCTTCAAGTTACAATTCAGTAAATCCTGTCGTTTCCAATTCAAATTCCACCTTAACAGCCTGTGGGTTGTGGCCAATACCAATTCAAACCAGTTAAAAGATCACTATCATATGAGCTAATTCCCAGGCAAATAAAGCTGACTTTAAAGAGAGCTGGAACTTCTGCAAATGCTAATGGTACACAATTCGCACATTCCTGTTAATCCTATCTCTCAATCTACTTGTTCACACGGACAGCCGATCGTTCTCCCGGCGTCTGCACATGACAGCGCATACAAGCGTATGCATCTGTAAATAGCCCAGGGTAAATTGTTTAAGGAGAGACAGAGAGGGGCAGATAAAGCTGCCTGTCGAGATTGCAAATTGAGAAGAAGTGACAGAGTAGTACAGAAATGGAAGACAGGAGGATGGGAGGAGGTGAACGTATTTGTCAGGACTGCTAATTGAAAGGAAGTGATGGAGCCTGACAACAATGGAGGAGGGGGAGGAGAGGGTCTTCAACAGACAGAGAAAAGACATGATTGGATTGAGAGAGATGAAACAAGTGAAGCATGAGGGCTATAAAGAGACAGCCATCACCAAGGGTGCCTGAACATGGGCTTCCCCGATGGAAATTGCTTCATCCTGGGTCCAAAAGAGTCGCTAACATTAGACAACATCAGCAACCATCACTTTATAAATCAACACGTGCTAAACGTTTGCTAATGTGGCAATACAACTCATGTCAAATGATGAATGATGGAGAATTGTCTAGAATTATTAAGATAAATGATGTGTGTGAGAAGTGATTGTTATTAGGGGTGTAGCGATACCCTCATGTCACGATTCGATACATCTCACGATACTGAACTCACGATACCATATTATTGCGATACTTCAAGACATGTGATAAAAGGTTAACAAATAATGTACTGTTGATTAAAATGCTAAATTTGGTTATACATTGAGTGTGTGTGAATGAATAGGCTTGGACTTGGTGCTGAAACCCAAAGCACAGGACAATAGAGACACCAGAATAACAATATTCATGATTCTGAAGCTGAAAACACAGGATTATTTTAGATGAATATGCTTGCACTCTTTCACTGACTAGATATATTTAAAATAATGTCGGCCACTTTTACTGGTAACATCAGACATTTGGCATTATCCCCCATTGCATTATTATACATTATATTCAAGATTAAATATAGTAGTTTAATGAGGTACTGACACCAAAACTCTGATTTTTCTTTTTTGGCATCAAACGCATTTTGTGATGGCATAACAACACTGAACCAAATGACATTGGATGTTAAAATATCCCAATTTGAAAGACTCTCCAACAAAGATGGGATTGTTATGTCACTATTTGGCTCTTGAGCCAGTAGAAAAAAGAAGAAAAAAAGCTGTTAGAGAAATATTTGAGAGATGTTTGCAGATTCCCCACCCAAGCCCCGGCTCTGGCACAAGAACCAGCAGCGTTTCAGAGAGCAGAGATGCTGTAGGAAAGAGAAAGCAGGACAGCAGAGGATGGCAGCCTCTGTTTGGCACAGTTAAAGCTGTCATTTGGACACAGCCCAGCTGGCAATGGGCCCGTTAGGCTTCCCCTATGTTTTTTGTATTTCAGTTCCCCCCTCCAACAAAATAAATGTTCATGAGCTGGAGTTATCAGAATGTGTGCTGTTGAATTAATAAGCACAGTTATGGCATTATGTGCTCCTGCATAAAGAGATTAATATAGTCCTTTGAGAGTCAAGTCCAAAAGCAACCCAGGGTAAAGATAGTGTTTTAGACGGGAGCTTTTGCAGACTTTAAAGTAAGACTTTAAGTTCTGGATGTAGAGCGGTGTACTTGAGGATTTTTTCCTCAGTACTAAAATATGATTTTGTGTAATTGAGTAATTTGGAAAATCAGTTGTTTTTCTAAGGAATAAAATACATTTCACTCCTTAAAATCTCATTTATGCCGTCAGATTGTGTATTTTGCTACGTATTGTTACGGTGTTATTGTATTTTTATGTCATACACAAAGTAGAAATATATTTTTTCTGTTCTTACTGAGCTAATAACAAGCTAATCTGATGTTTACTACTAAATTAACTTTACTGTAATTGCTTGTTTTAAATAAAAGTTTAGTGATTTGTTCTTGTGGTATTTGAACTAAAGGTTGAATTTCTCTTGTTATAATATGATGTGCCCTTGAGCATTACAGTAATCAGGAGATTAATACAACTTATTAAAGACTTGCTGTAAATTGGCAAATATTTTTTTGTAGTTCTAAGCTTGATCACATTTACATTTTTTTTTAATTTATGTTTATCCCTATTTGCCTGTGGGGTAAAAAAAAAATCCTTTATTTAAGATATATGCTTGAATAAACTTAATTCAAGATATATCCTATGAAAAAAAATCGTACAAAATTTGCTTGTCAAGTAAATTACTTTAAGTATGTTTTGATATACTTACAACTAAGAAAAAAAAAAGCTGATTTAGAAAATGTTTTAGCATAATAACACGCCACAGTGTTTATTCCTATTTGCCTGTGGGGTTAAAAAAAAAATCCTTTATTCAATATATATCCTATGAAAACAAATCATACAAAATTTGCTTGCCAAGTGAATTACTCTTGTTTTAAGTATGTTTTGATATACTAACTATACTATACAAAGAAAAAAAAATACTGATTTAGAAAATATTTTAGGATAATTCCAGCATGCGTATAAAATACGGGTAAGTTATGTGGTGAAAACCATAAAACAGAAATAAAATATTGCTATTTTTCCATAAATTATAATATCAGTTGTCACAATGAATCAGATTTGACTTTCTTTCTTTTTTTTTTTTATATATATATATTAAAAAAACAATATATTCGGAAATAAATGATGTCATATAAGCAGTTGACACAAAGCACAAGGTATAGGCCGTGTCGAAGTGCTCTTGTAGACACTCTTATGCTGTTCTGGCGGGAGACTCGGCCCCACAGGGTGCGGAGGATAGGCTGGGTAATTGTGCTTCTCATTTTGATCACTTGCTTTTTTTAATGCAAACTGGAGAAAAGACAATTTGCAATTATCTTAAAGAGGAAAGAGCTGAGTGATGCTGATGACAAGCCAGGATTCAATCATTTTCACACTGCGTTCTGCACAATTAAACTGCAATACAGATAATGGCTTGCTATCATAATCCCACTCATAATCAGCCTTATTACTTAGTAACGTAACCATTATCATCATCCGTATTAAAACTGTCCAGCTTCTTTGAGAGAATGATCGATGTGATCACAGGAGCAGACCACGAACGGACGTCTCTGGGTTCGCGTCTCTTCTCGTTTTGTATCATTGCGTATATAATGCATGGGCAACTTCTGTGAGATAGTCCTCTACCAGATGGGACACCTATGTTTATGTGCATGGTGTCATGGTGCACAGGTTTTTATTGGCCAGTGATAGTTTACCAGGCTTCTGTATAAAGACAAAAAAGGATTGCCGTGATTTTTGACGTTTGTGGGATCATTTTAGGGCCGCACGATATTGGAAAAAACTTATTTAAGATATTTAGTTTTTCTGCGATATATAAAAACAATTTCACCAGATGATTTGAATAGCTCTATTTGTTTAATTTTACAATAATTGGGGTGATCATTTATTTATTTATTTTTAAAGGGGAGTGAATCTGCATAGAAAATAATAAGCAAATTATAAGCATAGATAAATACAATAGAAGAAAGATTCAGGCAAAAAAAAAAAAATTGGAATAATCAAATGTAAAATAACAGTCTTCACTGTCTAAATGAAATATAACAAGTATAATTCATTTATTAATACAATTTATTTATCTTTTTTAAAGCTACAAAAGTCTTTTGTAGTTTGATCACCATTGCTATCACAAACAGCTGCGGGTACATTAGGCTGCTGTCACTTTAAGACGAATGCGCAGTCCTAATATAAATGACACGCATCCGTTTACGAACACATAACCAACCGCGTTAACGAGGAGACTTCGCCGAGACGGGTATTTTGACTTATTTTTGCGTGCACGTGTCCGTTTAAGCTTTAAAAAAGAGAGAAAGGGAACTAAATTCAGCACAGAAACCACTTAAAACACATACAAATGATAAACTCTCACTCTATGATGGTTAAACTTATTAAAAATAATCTGTGAATCACATGCGTTCTGAAACGGGGAGCAGCTGGACCGCACTGATCTCGGATCAATCCCTATACTTGACAGCGCACATCGCGATAACGATGCTGAAACGATACGTCGTTCAGTCCTAGATCATTAATATGTCCCTAAATCTCAAAACTGAGCTTTACTAAAGTCAGACAGCCTCCACTTTGTACAGTCGGTGGTTCTCGGCCAGAAAAACGCTTCAAAAGTGGACCTGATTTTATGCCGATAGATAAGCTCAAAAAGAAAAGTGTGAACTTCAAACGGATCAGGGATGTATTCAGCCGTACCAGAGGGAGAGGAAATAGACTGGGGTGTAGTGATAACTAGCATGGGGAAAGTGCAGGCTGAGTTAGCGGATCACACAAACAGTACACGGATGAACTCCTAATGGTTTATGACCGTTTGGCACATTTGGACGTGGCCCGGGGGGGTTTGTGTGTGAATAAGTGCAGACTGGCATTGGGCATGCCTGGGCATCTCTTACTCTTGCAGTCTCTCTCTATATTCCTCTCTCTGTGGAGTTGTGCTAGTCTGTCATCTGTAGGGATCTGGAGAGTCGCTAGCTCTTGATTCGGCTGGGTGTGGCTCGAGCTCGGGCCAAGCTAGTATAAGGTGCGGTGGGAAAACCCACGATGCTGTTGACCGTTCTTGTTCTTTCTCGAATGTTTTGTGCGCGCATAAATTCTTGTTGATGCACATCACAGACCACAAGATTCTTTGGCTGAACTTTTGTCCCCTTTCTGCACTGTCGAAAAAAACAACTGGGACGGGACATTTCACAGAGCAGAGAAACAGAGAGAGCTGTTCCTTTTGATGAGAAAGTCCAGAGACACAAATACATAGATTGACACATATTATGACACACCATTAATCACAATTAACATGAAATCGCGCTTATTGGGATCATTTTTTATGTGCAGCTTGTCAGAGACATACAGCTCTGAAAGCACTGCGAGTCGCTTATGTGCATTTGAAAAAGCAAAACGCGTCAAACATCTTTCCGAACATGAGAAGCATTTATAAACATCTTGTCCAATAAGACAACATTTAAAAAAATCAAGCATTTCGATCTTCTGTTTATTCAACTACAGCGATAGTATGATGCCCTTGGGGATTTCCTGGAATGATGTGTGTTATCGTACTTCTGCGGGGGATATTTGGTGTGTGTGTGTGTGTGTGTGAGACGCCCTCTGGCGTTCAGATGAAGCAACGTGGCGTGATCGGACCAAGCACTACTCTTTTTTATTGCAGGTCAAAATGAATAGATCTGAGCCATTAGGGTCTAGATCGAAACATGATCCAGCAATACAGGGGTGTCAAATGTGTCGATTGCATGACCTGGCAGTCTTGACAAATACAGTCAAACCAAAATGTATTCAGACACCTTCAACATTTCTCACATTATCCCGTTTTTGAAGTTTACACGGAGATGATAACGAAATTTGTCGAAATTTTCCAAAACTTGCACCTTGTACTGTGCATAAAATAAATCGCAGCCTTTGCCAAATCGCGTGCGGTTAATCGATTAATCGCGCAGCCCTTACACATATTGATTGATTGATTTCTTTATTTTGAACATGTAAATACAATTTTAAAAAAATCTGAGACAAAAAAACAGATACTTTCCAATACTTAAAAAAAAAAAAAACTCTAACATGTACAAAAAGGAGTAGGAAGAAGTAAAACTTATGTACTCCTACCCCTTTATACCCTTACTACAATAAGACAGACAGATAGACAAGCAGGTGAGAGCAACTGAGCCATCTTACCTTCATGCGAGTGGGGGAACCAGATCTGCGAGGCGCTGGAGTGAGGACCCCCACGATAAGAAGGAGAGGCGGGAGAAGACGGAGGTCTGGAGGGGTGTGGGGGGTGTGAGGGGGGGGAGCCGAGACTGCTGGCCAGGAACGTCCCCATGAAGGAGGCCGAGGAGTTGCCCATGAGTCCACTGCCTGTTTTAAGAGAGGAGAAGGAGAGTGGAGAAGTTAGGGTGTGTTGACTGGCGTGTGAACACTGGGTTTTGGCATGATGGTGACCAGTTGGATTCAAAGACTTTGTTTTAGCTGACTAGTTCACCCAAAAAATTAAAATTAGCCCATGATTTACGCACCCTCAAGCCATCCTAGGTGTATATGACATTCTTCTTTCAGACGAATACAATCAGAGTTATATTAATAAATGTCCTGGCTCTTACAAACTTTATAATGGCAGTGAATGGCTGTTTCTGTTTTGAAGTCCATAAAAGTGCATCTATCCATCATAAAAGTGCATCTATCCATCATAAAAGTGCATCTGTCCAACATAAAAGTGCATCTATCCATCATAAAAGTGCATCTGTCCATCATAAAAGTGCATCTATCCATCATAAAAGTGCATCTATCCATCATAAAAGTGCATCTATCCGTGATAAAAGTGCATCTATCCATCATAAAAGTGCATCTATCCGTGATAAAAGTGCATCTATCATCATAAAAGTGCATCTATCCATCATAAAAGTGCATCTATCCATCATAAAAATGCATCTATCCATCATAGAAGTGCATCTATCCATCATAAAAGTGCATCTATCCATCATAAAAGTGCATCTATCCATCATTAAAGTGCATCTATCCATCATAAAAGTGCATCTATCCATCATAAAAGTGCATCTATCCATCATAAAAGTGCCTCTATTCATCATAAAAGTGCATCTATCCATCATAAAAGTGCATCTATCCATCATAAAAGTGCATCTATCCATCATAAAAGTGCCTCTATTCATCATAAAAGTGCATCTAACCATCATAAAAGTGCATCTATCCATCATAAAAGTGCATCTATCCATCATAAAAGTGCATCTATCCATCATAAAAATGCATCTATCCATCATAGAAGTGCATCTATCCATCATAAAAGTGCATCTATCCATCATAAAAGTGCCTCTATTGCATCATAAAAGTGCATCTATCCATCATAAAAGTGCATCTATCCATCATAAAAGTGCCTCTATTCATCATAAAAGTGCATCTATCCATCATAAAAGTGCCTCTATTCATCATAAAAGTGCATCTATCCATCATAAAAGTGCATCTATCCATCATAAAAGTGCATCTATCCATCATAAAAGTGCCTCTATTCATCATAAAAGTGCATCTAACCATCATAAAAGTGCATCTAACCATCATAAAAGTGCATCTATCCATCTATCTATACAGAATTTGATTATCAGGATAAAGTCCCAACCCTGTTCCTGGAGGCACCATCACTGCACGTTTTTGAACTCTTCCTAATCAAACACACTTGATTCAACTCATGAGCTCACCAGCAGAGACTTCAAGACCTGAAACGGATGTGTCAGGTAAGTGAGACATCCAAAATGTACCGTTGGTGTGGCTCCAAGACCAGGGTAAGGAAAGACTGGTGTGTATTCTGGCCAAGAACCAGCAACTTAGACAGGAAAGCGCCATCAGTCCAACATATTCATTAACCAACAACTGTTCACTATTTTACTTTCGCTTTAGTGGCACATAAATCTCAAAAAGCACTCAAAGATATCTTCTTTACTTGTTCGAAAGTTGAGGCACTTTCTAACAAGTAAAGAAGATATCTTTAAATGTAACAAAGATATCTTAAAGGTCTGTAATATAATATGCCACAAATGGTGTGTGTGTGTCTGAAGCTGAGACTAGTTATTGAGTAACTTTCTAAGCAACAAATATCACACAAACTCCCCTGTGTCCTGGAGGCATATGGTTAGCTCAGAGGTTAGCTGTTAATGCCTGCCAGATTCATTCACTTTCCAAGACCATGAGTGGACACCACCCATCCAGCATACACACATTCATAATCTAGTTTAACCCCGAGACATCAAAGTCCGAGCCGGGATACGTCAAGCCATCACTCGACAGATACCTCATCTCACAGATGAATGCACAGCCTTTCTTTTTCTCTCTCCTGTGAATTCCCATCCCAATTTTCCTCCCTCTTTCTCCATTACCCTTTTTTTGTCATTCACTCTCGTGCCCTTAGTCTTGCCCTGAACCCTGCTCTTTTTCTCTTCGTTTCAATCACCAGCCTTCTCCACTGTTGTACCTTCTTCTGTCCTGTGTTATTTTCCACCATCCTGCAGCTGCATTTCGACCTCAGGATTACAGCATCATTTTGACACCCTCCAGAAAGTCTCCATGTTTCTTTCTTTTTCTTGTCTGTGGGTCCAAAGAATGTGGAAAAACACATTCTCAACCACTGATATGGTGAGAATATCAGCATGATGATGTGCTTGCAAAGCTAACACTTTACAGCCTTAGTAAATCAGCATTTTAACCTTTGACTCTACATCTTCAGTCTGACATCGTAAATCCTAACGTCTTGGCCTTAGACATCATCATAATTACACAAGAAAATTTTACAAATGGTGACTACAAATGTAGTGAGTACTTTCTGAGCTCTCACTGTTTGTCTCCCTTCATAAATAGCTGCTAGAAGTAGCCTATATCAACCGTTGCATTTGCCTGTACTTAGCTAGACAAATATGAGTAATTGATTAGTCAGAGCAATGCCCCTGTAACTGATTGATGGGCTATTATTCATTACAGATAAAGATAGAAAAAGACACACTGATTAACCATGATTTTAATTGAGCTCCCAGTTTGATGGTCTGAGGTCTTTACTCCTATAAATTCATCCACAGTATCAGACACATGCTTGAGTGTGAATGGCAGACACGCGTCCTACTGGTCATTGTGTAAAATTACATTTCTCAGTCAATTTTAGTTTGACACAGGATTGGCAAGGCTGGGAGTACTGATTAAAATAGTCAAAGGCTCACACAGGACACCCACAAACTGCTCACTGAGGCTGCTATATTGAGAGCATACATGTACACGAAGAACAAAATACTGGGTTTTCCTCAAACCTACATTGGCCTGAGATGCTGATAGGCTCCAGCATCCCCACGACCCTAAGGCAGGAAAACACCCTGGCCTGAATGGATGGAAATTCATGTCTTTGATCAGAATAATCTACAAATTGGACCAGACTTTTTGCCAATAGTGAAATGTATCACTCTGCAATATAATAGTTTCATTATAACATTCATTCAGTGATGAAATAATGTACAATTCACTACGGAAATATTGAGCGCCAGTGTCAACTACAAATATTTGCAGGCTTACTTAAACATTCACGAGTGTTTGATCCCACAAATACACCAAGTTTATGTGCTAATAATTTACTCATACAGCCAAACCCAAAATTGAACAGGCAAGGCTCCAAACAAAACACATGGGACAGTGCAAGTCTGATGTTACCAGACACCTCCCTCTGAGAGCATGCCATCCATGTGACAGAGCAAAACACGACCACTCTGATGTCAGAGGCAAGAAACTGTGATCACAAGGAGAAAAGACCAAAACACTAATGTAACAACTTTCCAATATGCAGTTCATCCCGTGACAGATAAGCGCCCAGGAAGCTGTAGGTGGAGGGAAATGGAAGTGGCCTTCTTGGGAACTAGGAGGAGGAGTATGGTAATTACAAACTTTGGACATCCACCCACTCATGGGGCAGATGAAAGACAGGACAGAGATGATGGGTAGAGGTGTAAACAAGTGACCAGGGGTGGCTGCCAACCAACCAAACTGGGCGCTAGAGTGGATCTAGGGCGTGAGAGTGTTTGTTTAGCAGGTCATTAAAGGGAAAACCAGGGCTCTTCTCAGCTAAGCCAGCCTCGTAATGTTCTGTTTTCCCTGACCTAATAATGTTTACATCTTAGGTAATGCCAGTCTGGTGCTTCCATGAAGGCTTAAGAAAAATCAGATCATGTGCATCCTAATCTGTGCCGATCCCTTACAGCAATGGAGATTAATCCTATTATATCATTTTTTTTTTTAAAAGAGCATGGTCGGGCTGCCTAGATTAATGCACACATTAATACACACATCCACAAATCCTTGGGATCCACACATACACCCACAGGCATGTCGTAGCCGGCGGGGTCCTGGCACAACCGGTTGTAAACACTGGATCTCATGTGCCGCCACAGCGGATGCCATGGCATTGCCACCCGTTAACGGAGGCGGGAAGATTCATTCAGATCCCAGTCAGCTCCCAGTCGGCTCAGTGGGAGGCGTTTAATGGTGCCGTTGTCATAGGAATGGTAAGAAGTGAAGAGATGAGTGAGAACAGCATGGCCTCATCCAAACCAGACGCTCTGTGGGCTGAGCCGGTCTGGGGTGTTGGTAACTTGCTGTTTTACACTGATCTGATGAAAGTTGAGCAGTTTATCTTCAATTGGTGGAGCGAAGCCTTCAAGGGCAATAACTGATCGCAGGCCTGTGTTAAAGCCAGTAAGTAACACTTAGACATGACATCGTCAGTTTGGACTCGCTGCTTGGATTGCTCATATTAACTATGCAATCGTCCCACATCACTGTTGAACGCAGAGACACACACATTGTTCAAACTTGAATTACTGCTTATTCCTCTGTAGAGTCTAAAAGAGTCTAGAAGTGGTTAACACAATAATTCAGTAATTCAGAGTAATTCAGGACAGCATGCTGACTGACATCAAACAGAGCAACTGTGTCACCTACAATGATCCAAACAGCTCCAAATTATGGAATAATCAAAAATTAGAGCGTAAATATAAATCACTTAACCATCCCTCCGGTAATACATGGAAGTGCCTAGTGAGAAGTAAGAGTCCTAAAGAAAAAGCTGCCCTGGTTCAGTAACCACTGCATTTCCATGTAAACCACACACTACAGTCACAGTTATCAGAAAAAGCATGTCGGCAGTGAGGAAAGAGTCTCATTTTGACTTACCAAGTAAAAACATCCTGTTAAGGGTCACTTGAGTCCTCTGTTCTTTATCTTTTATAGAAAACAGATGTTAGAAGTGGAGTTCAAGAAAGCAGAACCTCAGACTCTCTTAAGAGCCTCAACACCTTATACAATCCTCACGTACTGACGGCTAACACGGCAATCGCTCCTTCAAACTCCCAAGCCTCAGACAGACTGGGGCGCACAACTGGCTCTCGCCCCGTGACTCAGAAAACACTTCCTCGCTGTAAAAAAGGAGCAGGAATTTCAAATGGCTACTAAACTGGGGGGATTTCCTTATAAGAGTCAAAGCCATCTTGAAAACATTAGAAGAATTGGTAGCCAAACATTCCTATTGGTTTGTAGACAACTGGGATGGCGCTCCTGTTTCACAGCGCTGGAGGGACGTGTAGAGCGGGAAGTGGAGGGACCCTCAGGGACCAAGTTGGATGAGTGTGTGTGTGAGACTTGGTGAGTGGGTGAGCATGTAAATTGGAGGGGGTTGGCCAGACAGCGGTCCTACTTTGACCAGCACCAAAGTGAGTCAAACTGAAGTGATTCCAGGACTCATGTGGGAAGAGGACGAAATAAGCACTGGAAAAGACAGAGGGGGATTGGTTGCACATGCTTCTAACTCTCCGTGGGTGTTTGCAAAGGAGAAAAAAAGAGAGCAAGAGGGGTGTATACTTAGAGAAGAGTAGGATAAAGTTAAAAAAAAATGTGTCAAAAACGATAAGGACACAGGAAGTGGTGTGTCTGTGTGTGTGCAGTGGCAGCCAGTGTTTGTACAGTGGCTTGGTGGTTAGCCACAAAACTCAAAATCAAAGAGGGTTACAATTATTTCTTGTCCAAGATTTCTAGTCTAATGTAAACAGAACTGACACGTAGCTTTAACCAAAACAAATGAGACTTTTTAACCCTAATTGTTTGCTTTCATTGAGCCAACAAGATGGGAATAAATCCAACTAAACCTCAGTGAGTCAACACAAGTCTCTGTGTTGAAATCTCTTCAAATAGCAAGTGTATTTGGTAAATATTATTAAACATTCAGAAACATGGTGCATCAGGATAGGTAATGGCAGGTTTGACTTCAATGATGCCCAACACAACAGGTTCTCACGTTCACAGTTTTAATATGCTGAAGAATAAATAAGATTGAAGAGTTATAGTGGTGGGGAGGAAGATTTCTAATAAATATTAATTTTGATGCTTGATGGTGCTTTTGCTTTCATTGTATGGAAAATAGCTCTGTAAACATTCTATCAAATGTCCCTGTTGTGTTTCATGGAAAAAAGAAAGTCATAAAACATTAGGGTGAGTAAATGATGACACAACTTTCTTTTTTTTTGAGGTAACTAAACTTTAAATTACGTTGTCAAACTCACTCCCTGAGGGCCATTGTCCTGAAGAGTGTAGATCCAACCAGTTCCAACACACCTGCCTGAAAGTTTCCAGTAATCCTGTAGACCTTGATTAACTGGTCCAGGTGTGTTTAATTAGGGTTGGAGCTGAACTCTGCATGACAGTTGCCCTCCAGGAACTGAGTTTGACACCCCTGCTTTAGGCCTTGTCCACACTAATACGTTTTCGTTTGAAAACGCATCTTTTTCTCTGTGTTTTGGCCTTCCGTACACACTGAGACGGCGTTTTTATTAATGAAAACGAACCTTTTGAAAATGTCCTCCAAAGTGGATAAATTTAGTTAGTAAGGCATAAGTTTAGTCATGTGACGCATATTGTACCAATAGATATTCATGTTTACGGTATTGTGCCTGTTATGTGCTATTCACTTTCACACAGTTGCTAAAATATGTCTCTTCATATCACAGTCCTGCAAAGATCAGTCCAGAAGAATTGTAAAATAACTATTATTTATTTTTCCGTCTATATCATCTCAGTGAGCTTTTGTGAGGTTTTACGCATGCGCTGTAAGGTGAATTTAACGTTTTCAGGCGTTTTCCGAAAGTTTCTCATCCACACTGAAACGCCAAAAAATGCTAGTGTGGACGTATTGAACTGTGTAGTGGGGTGTAACGTATTGAACTGTTCGGTACGAGGCTTTCGGTTCGGTACGCATTACAAACCGAACGTTTTGTTGGACTATTTTTCCTAGCAGACCACCACAACGTTGCTCAACATCAAATGGCAAACGTAATGAAAGCGGAACGAAACTGCACTACTCATTATTTTGTGCTTCACGGACCGTTTATCAGTTTGGACCATCAATATCAGTGCAGCCCGAGACGATCTTTATCAAGCGACAGCGACACCGCTACTACACAGCACTAAGAGATCCAGTAAAGAAAGCATTTGAAATCGCCACAGAAGTAATAACGTCGCTGCGAGATCTAGTGAGAATTTCTCCGTTATTAACGGATCAAACAGCGCTTGTGAAATTGCAGAAATTGTGAAGCAGCAGAAATTGTGCCATGAATGATCTAGTTATAGGCTATAAGTCCACAAATCAGCAACATTCCCCATGGATTTACTGTAGTAACACTCACTGTAACCATGGAAGTTTGCTAGGAATAGTAAAATACTTTCAAGTACGTCACACATCTTTTTCCAGCACTTCAAAACTCAAATATTATCATATCAAATGTTATTTTTAAATGTGATGACCAAAACTTTATTTGTTCATCCTTCAAAGATTACCCCCATTTGTAAAACTAAAAGTTTCAAGATGTGGGAAAACTCAAGGAAATTTCTCTGGCATTAAATTCTTTTAGCTGTATCGAAAACGTACCGAACCGTGACACCACTGTGTCGTATCGAACCGAACCGTGAATTGTGTGAACCGTTACACCCCCAGTGGACGGAGAGTGTTTTTAAACGAAAACGTTTGTATCCGGATTAATGTAGACGTAGCCTTAAATAACCAGGGATGGTTTGAGCTTGATAAAGGCATTGAAAAGCGAGGGAAGGAGGGAGACCAAACAGCCACCAGCTAAACTCGTTTAAACCGAGTGTGACAGAAATGAAATCATATTAAGAAACAGCTGTCAGTCTGATAAAGGCATTGTGGGAGCATGTGTGTTCATACCTGCTTGGTCAGCCTCACCCTAGGGGTGTACCTCAACCTCAAAACTATCCATCATTTCTAAACGTCTGTTTGCACATGGATCGCTCACTGATAGGGGCTCGAAACTCAGACAAACAGGCTAATGGATGGCTGCCTGAATTGCAAGCTCCACAGCGGACGTGTTTCATGGGAACGGTAAATAACGGGTGAGCCGTGGCAGCAAGTCTAGCCTCTCTCAAACAATGATAGCTTTCAAGAAGAGCACAGGATTCGTGGACTGGGATCGTTTGTGTACGTTGAGTCTATTTGGATCATTCCACACAACTGAAGTGGCATTTCCATCTGAAACTATTTGTAAAATGAAGCGTAGTAGTATATCCGTGGCTCATTTAGCCATAGCAAGAGGCTGAGCTGATGCTACTAGTACTTTAACAATATGTTTTCACGACAGTTCTGTAAACAAGAAGTTTTCATGTTTCAAGTTCATTTGTATATTTTCGTTCTCCGCCAATGCAAATATATAAATATTTTTTTTTAAGATTAATTTAACATGTTGCTTATTTCAGATTTATTTAAGAATATGCCAAATATACTTTATTTTATGGGAAACAATCTTTTGTGCATGTGTTTCTGTGTGAGTATTGAAAGTGGGTAATAATAGACTGGAAAAAAGTGGAGAGAGTATGAGAACATCTAAATGGAAATGCTGTGTGTGTGTGACTGTGTGTGTGTGTGTGTGGGGTGGGGGGTGCTGAGTCACGCCTTGTTACCATGGTGACTAAGGTGCTCCAAATTTGGAAATTCATCAACAGAATAGAAGATGAAGTTAATCCTGGTCGATTTCTTTCTCCCACATCCAAAAATAACATTGTAAGAGCATAAGATTTAAATGACTAAGTGTGAATGAGACTTGAAAGCTAGATCAGAAGTCAACATTTTATGTGATTAACTTATCGGAACATTTAGGAATATTTGCATAATAAGAAAAATCAATACTACTGAATTTAGGGATGCACAATATATCGGTCACAATATCGGTATACGGCCGATATATGTTCATTTTTAATGTTATCGTTATCGGCCCGATAAGAAAATGTGGCCGATATATTAAAGCCGATAAATAATGTGTTATTTCCTTCAGCTGAGACACTTCAGATGCACTGTTCAACATGATGGATTTAAATTGCTTGAAATCTGATTAGAATCACTTCGAAAAGGATATCGGCTACATACAATTATAATGAGAAAATCATTATAATTGTGTGTTTGGCACATGGATTTTAATGGTGAATCAGCCAATCAGCCAATATAAAAAATTTGATTTAGATTTATCGGCCAATATATCGGTTATCGGCTTTCAAATATAAAGAATTATCGGTTATCGGTATCGGGCAAAATTTTCATATCGGTGCATCCCTAACTGTATTTAAATTATGTAAAAGAAAAACAACTCTTTTGTTAATTATCCACTCAGTGACTATTATTTACAATCACACCTGAAAACCGCTTTTTATTAGATTTGTTTACATGCAGTGTATTCTTAACCCCCATATACATGCGACTCTATCAGTAAGCACCAATCTCCACACCTTTCAGTTACTTTAGTTATCCCACTTTTCAAAAACATGCATTTACATGATCACTTAAGCCAAATTCTCCATCAGAAACCCAGATGTTTCAAATGGTGTACGGAAAACGACATTTAATGTTTACATGATGTCTCAGAACGCCTTAAGTGCATGCAAATATAACTAGTGTCAGTGAGTTGACGTTAATTTCATAACCGCTTTGATAGATTCAGAGAATGATTTGTAAGAACGATTCTGAGTCTGAAGCTTTTTTGACAATCATTCTTTGATCAGACCATTTATTTTTTACACCGCTTGCGAACACAACTCGACAGAAAGATCTGTTATCAGTCATACTCTTTATCAAATGGCTTTGGAAATAATGTATGAGTTGTCTGGCCTACTTTTTGTGTCCCGTCCTTTTTCCTGTTGTGTGGAAAAAAAATAGCATGGATGTTCTGGTAAATAACTCCTCTTATGTTCCAAGGAAGAATAAAGACTTTGACAAGATGACGAATAGATGATAACAGCATTTTCATTTTCTTTTTTTTGGATGAACTATCCTCATGAGTGCAGTCTTAAACACTAAAGCGCAGCATCCATTGGCCAGAGTTATTACAGTTTCAGCCAAGC